AGTAACTGTGTCAATTCCCATTTTGAATTTGATTCCCCATAATTTAATCCCACCCCTCTCCCGAACACCCTAGCATTTACTTCTTTTACAACCCCATCTATAAATATATTAAACAACCATGGTGACATTACACATCCCTGTCTAAGACCTACTTTTACCGGGAAGTATTCTCCCTCTCTTCTACACACCCTAACCTGAGCCTCACTATCCTCATAAAAGCTCTTTACAGCATTTAGTAACTTACCACCTATTCCATATACTTGCAACATCTGCCACATTGCTCCTCTATCCACTCTATCATAAGCGTTTTCTAAATCCATAAATGCAATAAAAACTTCCCTACCTTTATCTAATTACTGTTCACATATATGCTTCAATGTAAACACGATCTACACATCCCCTACCCACTCTGAAGCCTCCTTGCTCATCCGCAATCCTACATTCTGTCTTACCTCTAATTCTTTCAATTATAACCCTACCGTATACTTTTCCTGGTATACTCAGTAAACTTATTCCTCTATAATTTTTACAATCTCTTTTGTCCCCCTTCCCTTTATATAAAGGGACTATACATGCTCTCCGCCAATCCCTAGGTACCTTCCCCTCTTTCATACATTTATTAAACAAAAGTACCAACCACTCCAACACTATATTCCCCCCTGCTTTTAACATTTCTGTCATGATCTCATCAGTTCCAGCTGCTTTACCCTCTTTCATTCTACGTAATGCCTCACGCACCTCCCCCACACTCACATCCTGCTCTTCTTCACTCCTAAAAGATGGTATACCTCCCTGGCCAGTGCATGAAATTACCGCCTCCCTTTCTTCCTCAACATTTAAAAGTTCCTCAAAATATTCTCGCCATCTACCTAATACCTCCCTCTCCCCATCTACTAACTCCCCTATTCTGTTTTTAACTGACAAATCCATACTTTCCCTAGGCTTTCTTAACTTGTTTAACTCACTCCAAAATTTTTTCTTATTTTCATTAAAATTTCTTGACAGTGCCTCTCCCACTCTTTCATCTGCTCTCCTTTTGCACTCTCTCACCACTCTCTTCACCTTTCTTTTACTCTCCATATACTCTGCTCTTCTTATAACACTTCTGCTTTGTAAAAACCTCTCGTAAGCTAACTTTTACTCTTTTATCACACCCTTTACTTCATCATTCCACCAATCACTCCTCTTTCCTCCTGCCCCCACCCTCCTATAACCACAAACTTCTGCCCCACATTCTAATACTGCATTTTTAAAACTATTCCAACCCTCTTCAACCCCCCCACTACTCATCTTTGCACTAGCCCACCTTTCTGCCAATAGTCTTTTTATATATTTTATACACTTTTTTATATTCATGTTTAAGTTTCTTCTTTTATACACCCTCCCACATTCACCCACAACCCTGGTAACTTCTCTTCAGAATATCCCAAAAGAATGGTTATTAGCAAAAAGAAGAAATGAAAAGTTTTCTTCTTTTTACATTTAGTAATTTATACAGAAGGGATTACTAGCAGCCCCTTACCCACATGCTTATTATTATTATTATTATTATTATTATTATTATTATTATTATTATACTGCATTAACAAAAAAGGTCTAAAGTAAGCATGGCAAGCAGTCAATACATATAGCAAGAAACACTCCTGTTACTGAACAACAGTATTCCCGACAGCAGTGATAGTAATACCAGTGGTGATATTTACCAACCTATGTTTACTGATACAGATGGCAACTGAAATGTGAATAAAACATGTAAAACAAACACATGTATACCTACACCCTCCCAGTAGATGTAGCTAAGAGAATTATGGACAAATGTTAATTTTATTACAGCATATAAAAAATTTAACAAATGGCAGTGAATGCGACACCAGTTTATCTGGAGAGAGTTTATCTGGAGAGAGTTCCGGGGGTCAACGCCCCCGCGGCCCGGTCTGTGACCAGGCCTCCTTAGGTCAGTGTCCCAGGATGCGACCCACACCAGTCGACTAACACCCAGGTACCCATTTTACTGATGGGGAACATAGACAACAGGTGGAAAGAAACACGTCCAATGTTTCTACTCTGGCTGGGAATCGAACCCAGGCCCTCGCCGTGTGAAGCGAGAGCGTTAACCACCAGGCCACCAGAGCCAGTGGTGATATTTACATGTATTTTGACAGACAAAAAATCAGATTGAAATAAAATTTGTAAATCAGACAGAGGTATGTCTGAACCCTCCCAATTGAAGTAACAAAGTGAGAGTCATGGAGTGACGGTGCATTTCAAGTAGAAAAACATCGCATTTCATGCAGGCTTAAACTAGAGTAATACTAATATAGCACAAAGACCCTGGTTATGTGGAGAATTTCTTGCAGACTAAATCTGTAACTTAAAGCTACTTGACACTGAATAGCTTAAGGAAGATTGTTTCAATGCTAAGTTTAGCATCGTTAAGTTGACAAAGGATAAAATTATTATTTGTTATAGCTTATTTTAAGTAACATACCATTGTTTATTAAAACAGTAATGTTAACATGAAGGGATTGTAATGCAACAAAGTACTATTGATCTGTTAAAGTCGAGCAAGTGGGATATCAAAGAGGCAAATATTTCTTTAATTGTGCCTATGCATTGTGTTACAGCCTTCTACAAAGAGTTTTAAATCTGGATTTTTTTTTTTCAATATGTTGACCATCTCCCACCAAGGCAAGGTGGCCCAAAACAGAAATAAACTTTTACCATCATTCAACACTTTCACTATTATTCACACATAATCACTGTCTTTGCAGAGGCACTCAGACATGAGAGTCTAGATGTCACTCCTAACAGCTAATATCCCAAATCCCTCCTTTAAAAGTGCTGGGATTGTACTCCTAACCTCCAGGACTCAAGTCTGACTAACCAGTTTCCCTGAATCCCTTCAAAAAATATTTATATATATATATTATTAGGTGTCTTGTCTATGTAAAATGCACAGTAATCAAGTATAGATATTTTGTATGCTGAGTAAATTTTAATTTTTGAATAGTGGGAGGCATGTGTTGTCTAGAATCAGAATGAGTGATCATTTAATAGCAGATTCTGTTGAGTTACAATGGGTTTTAAATTAATTGCTCTTGATTACTCCCTGAAAATATACCATAACTAAGGTAATGATAAATCAGAAAGCAGTATACAGACAGTAATGATGTGTGAACTACATAGTAATATATTTTTGAAAGCGTGCCCACTGTTTTGAAATTTTCTTAGGTATGTGCTAGAAGTGAGTATTGAATTTTAGTTTTGATATATCCAGGCATATATTTTACAAGCTCATCATTAGCTGTGTTGTTGAGGACAACTGGATCTGAATTTAATATGATAAAAACTGTGTCATCTGCAAATTTCTGGGAGCCATTAGGAAGGTCACTGAGGTACATTAAAAATAATAGAGGGCATTAGGAGGCCGCCCTGAAAAACCCAGGTTGAAAGGTCAAGTTGATGAGGTATTGTCATTAATGATAACATGTTGATGTTTGTTGTTAAGACAGCACCTAATGTATGTGAGATCAAGGCTTCTGATTCCATGTGGTTTTAGTTTCAGCAGCAGAACATTGTGATCTATTGTACAAAGCTTTTCTTACATCAAAAATGAGATCCACTGGATATTCATTATTTTCCAGTAATGCACAGACTGAAGAATAAAAAGGCACAACACCATGGCTGGAAAAATAAAAAAATAACCCACATATAGGAGAAAGAAACTTGGTCAATTGTCCAAGATGGACTGAAACGTTGTCATAACTTTCTTTCTCCTATATGGCGGTTATTTGTGTACGAACTGAGTCGAGCATTTCATTATACATGTACATCATTCCTACTTTTCCTGGCCTGAAACCAAATTAGGAAGGGTTAAGAATATTGTGTGTGGTTATGGCTGTGGACAGTTGTATATATACATATATTTTTTAAATCAGATTAAGCTATCACACAATACAAAACTAAAACAGCCCTTTAAATCACTTCTCAAAGTGAAAAGATTTTAATACAATTTTAGTAATAAAAATTCCACAGACATCTCAGTCTTTTCTATCACTACTGAAAAGATTATACCCAATAATGGTACACAGACACCCCCCAACTTAGGAACAAGTTATGTTGCAGAAGGCTGTTCGTATCTTGAATTGTTCGTAAGTCATTATTTTGCCATTTTTCTATTGTTACAATTATTATTATTGTTTTTAATATTATCATTTTTATTATTGTTCTCTCTCTGTGGCACTGTTCACTGAAAACTTAAAAGACAATACTGTACAGTATCAGTAATGTATGGTTCTTACTAGTAAAGCATATTTTAATCATAAATACTTTAATAAAAAACTTCTTTAACTACCTTTAACTAACACCGCAATCTGTTCGCATGTCCAAATGTTCATAACACGAATGTTCGTAAGTAGGGTAGCGTCTGTTCTCTCTATGATGCCTGGAATATACCTGGAGAGGGTTTCAGGGGTAAATGCCCCCGCCGCCCGATCTGTGACCCGGCCTCATACCTTCTGTACACAGTGAAGATTCTATGACAAAATATAATTTTCCTGAATAACTGGTTAATTTCTAATGTTTATTCCTGGAAAGGCTAATAACTAATGCTAATTTTCATGTAGTTGACCACAACTATTCCAAGAAATTATGGGTCTGAGACTTCAGCAACATAGTAGTAGAAAGCAGGAATGGTTCAGGTAGTGGGATGGTTCAGGTAGTGGGATGGCTCAGGTAGTGGGATGGTTCAGGTAGTGGGATGGTTCAGGTAGTAGGATGGCTCAGGTAGTGGGATGGTTCAGGTAGTGGGATGGTTCAGGTAGTGGGGTGGTTCAGGTAGTGGGGTGGTTCAGGTAGTGGGGTGGTTCAGGTAGTGGGATGGGTCAGGCAGTGGGATAGTTCAGGTAGTGGGATAGTTCAGGTTAGTGGGATGGTTCAGGTAGTGGGTGGTTCAGGTAGTGGGTGGTTCAGGTAGTGGGATGGTTTCAGGTAGTGGATGGGTCAGGCAGTGGGATAGTTCAGGTAGTGGGATGGTTCAGGTAGTGGGATGGTTCAGGTAGTGGGGTGGTTCAGGTAGTGGGGTGGTTCAGGAAGTGGGATGGTTCAGGAAGTGGGATGGTTCAGGTAGTGGGATGGTTCAGGTAGTGGGATGGTTTTAGGTAGTGGGATGGTTCAGGTAGTGGGATGGTTCAGGCAGTGGGATAGTTCAGGTAGTGGGATAGTTCAGGTAGTGGGATGGTTCAGGTAGTGGGTGGTTCAGGTAGTGAGGTGGTTCAGGTAGTGGGGGTGGTTCAGGTAGTGGGATGGGTCAGGCAGTGGGATAGTTCAGGTAGTGGGATGGTTCAGGTAGTGGGGTGGTTCAGGTAGTGGGATGGTTCAGGTAGTGGGATGGGTCAGGTAGTGGGATGGGTCAGGCAGTGGGATAGTTCAGGTAGTGGGATGGTTCAGGTAGTGGGGTGGTTCAGGTAGTGAGGTGGGTTTAGGTAGTGAGGTGGCTCAGGTAGAGGGATGGTTTGGGTAGTGGGATGGTTTTTTGTAGTGGGGTGGTTCAGGTAGTGGGGTGGGTCAAGTAGTGGGTGGTTCAGGTAGTGGGGTTTGGTTCAGGTAGTGGGGTGGTTCAGGCAGTGGGGCAGTTCAGGTAGTGGGATGGTTCAGTAGTCTGATAGTTCAGGTAGTGGGGTGGTTCAGGTAGTAGGATGATTCAGGTAGTGGGGTGGTTCAGGTAGTGGGGTGGTTCAGGTAGTGGGTGTGGTTCAGGTAGTGGGGTGGTTCAGGTAGTGGGGTGGTTCAGGTAGTGGGGTGGTTTAGGTAGTGAGGTGGTTCAGGTAGTAGGATGGTTCAGGTAGTGAGGTGGTTCAGGTAGGTGGGGTGGTGCAGGTAGTGGGGTGGTGCAGGTAGTGGGGTGGTTCAGGTAGTGGGTTGGTCAGGTAGTGGGGAGGTTCAGGTAGTGGGGGGGCGGGGGGTGTTCAGGTAGTGGGGTGGTGCAGGTAGTGGGGTGGTGCAGGTAGTGGGTGGTGCAGGTAGTGGGGTGGTTCAGGTAGTTGGGTGGTGCAGGTAGTGGGGTGGTGCAGGTAGTGGGGTTGGGTGTTTCAGGTAGTGGGGTAGTGCAGGTAGTGGGGTGGTTCATATTGGTGAGGTAGTGGGGTGGTGCAGGTAGTGGGGTGGTGCAGGTAGTGGGGTGGTGCAGGTAGTGGGGTGGTTCAGGTAGTGGGGTGTTCAGGTAGTGGGATGGTTCAGGTAGTGGGTGGTGCAGGTAGTGGGGTGGTTTCAGGTAGTGGTAGTGGTTCAGGTAGTGGGGTGGTTCAGGTAGTGGGATGGTTCAGGTAGTGGGATGGTTCAGGTAGTGGGATGGTTCAGGTAGTGGAGTGGTTCAGGTAGTGGGATGGTTCAGGTAGTGGGTGGGTTTCAGGTAGTGGGATGGTTCAGGTTAGTGGAGTGGTTCAGGTAGTGGGGTGGTTCAGGTAGTGGGATGGTTCAGGTAGTGGGGTGGTTCAGGTAGTGGGATGGTTCAGGTAGTGGAGTGGTTCAGGTAGGGGGTGGTTCAGGTAGTGGGTGGTTCAGGTAGTGGGATGGTTCAGGTAGTGGGATGGTTCAGGTAGTGGGGAGGTTCAGGTAGTGGGATGGTTCAGGTAGTGGGTTGGTTCAGGTAGTGGGATGGTTCAGGTAGTGGAGTGGTTCAGGTAGTGGGGTGGTTCAGGTAGTGGGATGGTTCAGGTAGTGGGGTGGTTCAGGTAGTGGATGGTTCAGGTAGTGGGGTGGTTCAGGTAGTGGGGTGGTTCAGGTAGTGGGGTGTTCAGGTAGTGGGATGGTTCAGGTAGTGGGGTGGTTCAGGTAGTGGGGTGGTTCGGGTAGTGGGGTGGTTCAGGTAGTGGGATGGTTCAGGTAGTGGGATGGTTCAGGTAGTGGGGAGGTTCAGGTAGTGGGATGGTTCAGGTAGTGGGATGGTTCAGGTAGTGGGTTGGTTCAGGTAGTGGGGAGGTTCAGGTAGTGGGTTGGTTCAGGTAGTGGGAGGTTCAGGTAGTGGGTTGGTTCAGGTAGTGGGGAGGTTCAGGTAGTGGGTTGGTTCAGGTAGTGGGGTGGTTCAGGTAGTGGGATTGGTTCAGGTAGTGGGGAGGTTCAGGTAGTGGGATGGTTCAGGTATGGGGAGGTTCAGGTAGTGGGATGGTTCAGGTAGTGGGGGGTTCAGGTAGTGGGGTGGTTCAGGTAGTGGGGTGGTTCAGGTAGTGGGATGGTTCAGGTAGTGGGATGGTTCAGGTAGTGGGGAGGTTCAGGTAGTGGGATGGTTCAGGTAGTGGGATGGTTCAGGTAGTGGGTTGGTTCAGGTAGTGGGAGGTTCAGGTAGTGGGTTGGTTCAGGTAGTGGGAGGTTCAGGTAGTGGGTTGGTTCAGGTAGTGGGGAGGTTCAGGTAGTGGGTTGGTTCAGGTAGTGGGGTGGTTCAGGTAGTGGGTATGGTTCATGTAGTGGGGAGGTTCAGGTAGTGGGATGGTTCAGGTAGTGGGTTGGTTCAGGTAGTGGGATGGTTCAGGTAGTGGGGAGGTTCAGGTAGTGGGATGGTTCAGGTAGTGGGTTGGTTCAGGTAGTGGGATGGTTCAGGTAGTGGGGGAGGTTCAGGTAGTGGGGTGGTTCAGGTAGTGGGATGGTTCAGGTAGTGGGAGGTTCAGGTAGTGGGGATAGTTCAGGTAGTGGGTTGGTTCAGGTAGTGGGATGGTTCAGGTAGTGGGGAGGTTCAGGTAGTGGGATGGTTCAGGTAGTGGGTTGGTTCAGGTAGTGGGGAGGTTCAGGTAGTGGGATGGTTCAGGTAGTGGGATGGTTCAGGTAGTGGGTTGGTTCAGGTAGTGGGGAGGTTCAGGTAGTGGAATAGTTCAAGGTATTTAATAAAAATTGCAATATCTAGTCCTTCTTTAATATGACCTAACATTATAAACATCTCAGACATGCTTCCCATATTTAAGAGTAACCTTAATGTAATACAAAGAAAATCAATATTTCACATATTTCTCACATTTATGAAAATTTTTTCAGCATTTACCCCTAAAATTCGTTTTTTAACACATTGGTGTTTCCCACCAAGGCAAATGGGAAATAGCAAAAATTAATTATTTTATAGCAATAATACCTAATCATATAGATTTTAAGATACTTTTCAATACAATTTTTTTGTTTTTTTTTTTTTCAAAAAATTTTATGTTCTGAATATATTGAATTGCAAATTCTTTTAATGATAAAGTAAACAGATATGATCTGATACATTGATTTTTCTTTTAATTACGTGCAAATTATGGAAAAGCAATGCATAAGTGAGGAAACTGCAAAATATTTAACTATTAAATGAAAAGAATTTTTGTAACCTCAATGGCCATCTTCTGTCTAGGCAGAGTGAGCGAAAGAAGAAAACACATTTGCCATCATTCATTCAATCACTGTTTTTCCAGGAGTGTGCTGGCATCATAATTTAGATCATCCTCTGACTATATCCCCATCCGTCACTGAGAGTGTAATCACTGCCCCTCCAACCTCTGGGACTGAAGTTCAGCTAACTGCTTTCCCCTGAAACCTCTCATGAAAGTTACCTTGCTCACATTCCAATAACAAGTACAATAAAAGCCACTTGTCTCCATGCACTACTAACACACAACCACAAACTATGCATACTATACTTGGCCTAGCCCCACTAATTAGAAAGTTATTTGAAAAGGTAACCTACAGAATATTTATCACAGCAAGTTAAATTTCACATAAAAATTACCTAAGACATATAACCATGCTATGTTAAAACTGCTAACCTGCCTAAGGAACCCGGTTTGATGCTAATATTTTATGGTATAAAAGGAATACCGATCATGTGTCCCAACCTACCTAACAAACGTGGAGGATTTGGGCAGTTGACCTAAGAATGTTTGAAAACTAACTCTCAAAATTCAATATTCAAATCTTCCTCTTTCAACAAACTGGCCATATCCCACAAGGGCAGGGTGGCCCAAAAAGAAAAACAAAATTTCTATTTTTAAGTTTAGTAATGTATACAGGAGAATTATTATTATAATCAAAAAGAAGCGCTATGCCACAAGGGTTATACAGCGCTGCAGGGTAGGAAAGGAAGCGAGGGTATTGGGTGGCAGAAGGGGAAAGGGGCGATCAGTAGGTTACAGAAAACAGCGGGGCAGGGGATAGTGCAGAGTAGAGGGTAGCAAGAGATCGAGGTAGAAAGGGCTGAAGGTATCATCAGAGTTTGTGAAGTCAGTCAGTTGTCGTCAAAAAGTCAATGAGAGAGTCTGGATGAAAGGTGGGTCCATCAGCGAGAAGGGAAGGTAAAGAGAGAGCAGCGGAGCGAAGACGACGTTGGAGGTAAATTCTGCATGCTCGTTGATAAAGTGGGCAGTCTAACAGAATGTGGCTGACCGATAATGGAACCTGACAATTCTCACAGGGAGGAGCAGGGCACCTCTCCATGAGACATCCATAAGTAAGACGAGTATGGCCAATGCGGAGACGGGAGAGAGTAGTCTCCCAACCTCGACACTGGTGACAAGAAGACGGCCAGTAACCTATACTCGGTTTAATAGACTGAAGTTTGTTACCGAGAAGAGTACACCAACATTGTTGCCAACGGGTGTGAAGGTGGGTAGCTATAGCAGCAAAATAGTCCGTAAATGGAACACCTGTATACAGGAGAAGGGATTACCAGCCTCTTGCTCCCAGCATTTTACTCATATCTTACGACACATTCAATATTAAAATATGGAATGTTAAATATCACAAAAAAAATTAGGTGCAATATAGAATACATTCTTGCTATGCAATAATCCAAATGAGTTTGCCAGCAAAACCATTTCCTGCCATAAGATGCAATTTAGAAATATCCTGACTCCATCTTGCAAAAAATAGGGTCAAAATAAAAATATTACCAAGAAACAGCTATTTTAAAGCTTATTTATGGACTTGTAATGTGCAATAATGGTCACAGTAAGTACCAAAAGCTTCACATTCTCCAAGCTGACTTAACTTGCTCTCCTACAAACTTCCTTGTTTTTTTTTTTTTTCAACAGGTTGGCTGTCTCCCACCAAGGCAGGGTGGCCCAAAAAAGAAAGAAACACTTTCACCATGATTCAACACTTTCATCATCATTCACATGTAATCACTGTCATTGCAGAGGCACCCTTCTTATTAACATAAATTTGCATAACCATACGGATGGAAAGGAAAAAAAGACATGCTTTGAAAATGAACTTGAGGTGAAAGTGTGTATAATTTTCAATTAAATATTCCTTCCTTTTTGTATCCCAAACATGAATTTTGAAACATCTTTTCCCAGTGATTCTTTAAAATAAACATGAATTTGTTTTATCATTCAATATTTTTTTAATACATTGGCAGTTTCCCACCAAGGTAGGGTGACCCAAAAAAGAAGAAATGCTTTCATCATCATTCACTCCATCACTGTCCTGCCAGAGGCATGCCTATACTACAGCACCTTATACTATATGTAGTAGAAAATATGATATTTTTGTAAAAAAAAAAAAAAAAAAATATCTGAACCATCTCTGCTCTCACTTATAAATATTTTTTCATTAAAAAGTAAATATATATAGATAATCTAAATAGGACTTCTATATAAACAAAAGGGCAAACAGCCCAGATAATCATAAAATTCATACAGTATGTATTGTTTATCCTGGAATAATCCTTAATATTTAAATAATTTGAACTGGAGAAATGAAGAGTTCAGTTTTTTAAACTGCAAAATAGTTGTGGTCAACAGTATATTAAAACTATCAATCTAAGAACCCAGATTAAGTCATAATAAACGACTGTCAGTCTAAAAATCTACAAAATAAATTCTCTGAATATTCATAAAGAGATTATATTTATATTGATGTTATAATTAGAATAAAAAATACATTATACATATTTGCAATTTCAAATTTCACCTGTTATAAAATAAAATGGGAAAAATAATACAATATGATCAAAAACATGTACAAGAAGAAGAGCATGAAAACTAAAAATACAAAAATAAAGGTAAAACTCTTATACTAGAGACTTGACGTAGGCACAACCAAGACTTGTTGCATATCACAGAGGGAGAGAGACAGCGCCTCAGAGAATGCTTCCACGCTCGTCTCTTCTGAAGCTTTGAAACTTGTGATAAAGAAATTCAATCTGGAAAGGAAAATAATGCAATGAAAATTTTCTGTCTTCATATATACACATACTGGAAAGTACTATGAGATCTGCCGCACATCTTTTGAAGCATATGTATACTGTATATGTATGTATAGGAGACTGAACAAGGCCTGGTCTCAGACTGGGCCGCTGATCTCCGAAACCGTCTCCGGGTATGTACAGTAGAGCCCTGCTTTACAGCATTTTGCTAATACAGACATTTCAATTTATGACCAAAACTCGTTATACAGTTACCTCCCCCCCACTACTTGTTTACATCCTACGTGAGCTCCGCATCTCTCCATTATTTCTGGAAACTTTCCAAAATTTCAAGTGTTTTAAAGTTTTTTTTTTTTTTTTTCAACAAGTCGGCCATCTCCCACCAAGGCAGGGTGACCCAAAAAGAAAGAAAATCCCCAAAAAGAAAATACTTTCATCATCATTCAACACTTTCACCTCACTCACACATAATCACTGTTTTTGCAGAGGTGCTCAGAACACAACAGCTTAGAAGCATATACATATAAAGATACACAACATATCCCTCCAAACTGCTAATATCCCAAAACCCTTCCTTTAGAGTGCAGGCATTGTACTTCCCATTTCCAGGACTCAAGTTATATCATATTTTATATTTACTCTGATAATTATACTTTTGTACCTGTACCTAAATAAACTTATACACTGTGCTGGCATGCAGATACACATTAAAATCACTAAGAGTCTCCCTCTAGTCTTGAAGATGCATATTAATATTATTAATAATAATAATAACTATGGGGTGCTTTAAATGTTGTATATTAAGTTATTACTGTATAGACACTTTCATTAATCCATTTATGATATTTTTTTTAAATTATGTAAGAAACATGCTATATAACATATAAACATGATACATACACCCACAGTAGAATAAATTTGACATAAATATGAGATGTGGTAGCTGGGCAGCTTGTCAGAATGATGGCAAGAGCTATGTGTTCTCTAGTCCAACACCAAGAAAAATGTGCACACTACAGCCTCTCCTCACTTAGCAACATACTCGTTTACCGACCACTTACACTTATGACCAGCTCTCCAATGAGCATGCAAACCTAAGTAATGTTTATGAGAGCTGATTTCCTCTATTCTGCTTATTATAGTATACAGTACACTACTGTATAAACATTTAAAATATACCACAAACTTCAGAAGCTAGGCTGAGGGAATAACTACTGTAAATGTATGTTGTGGCTGACTTTTTAAGTTAGTTTCAACACCACTGAGCTTTGCCGTTTTTTTTTTTAACACATAAGCTCTCTCCCACCAAGGTAGGGTGGCCTGAAAATAAGAAGAAAAACTTTCACCACCACTCATGTGATCACTGCCTTTCCAGACACACTGACATTACAACTGCAATGCCCTTCCAAACTACATCATCTCTACCCCTCTTTCAGAGTGCAGGCTATTGTATACATTTAACTGGGGGTAATGTTTTCTGATATAATTTAGAATCTTTGTTTTGGCATCTAAAATCATCTCTGAGGTAAACTTCTCTAAGGTAAATTTCTTTGAAGCAAAACATTCTTAATAAAGATTCACTACTACTATTTTAATTAATGATATAACTGTGTATATATATAATTGGGGCCCCTGATATATTCTATATGGTAAATTTTGAATAAATTTTAGTATAGTTTATTATATTATTTCAGGTCACTTTTTATATTGTATCTTTATATATGCTTCTAAGCTGTTGTATCTGGGCACCTCTGCAAAAATTATGATTATGTATGAGTGAGGTGAAAGTGTTGAATGATGATGAAAGTATATTTTTGTTTTGGGGATTTTCTTTCTTTTTGGATCACCCTGCCTCGGTGGGAGATGGCCGACTTGTTGACAAAAAAAATATGATTGAGTCGTCTTGCCTGTCCGAGACCATACTGTAGAAACAGCCATAGCCATTAGGAATCATCGCTGCTACGCCACCAAACACGGGTGTGTATCCCACGGTACTTGTTGAAAGTACAAAGTTGCCACCACCGCCACTGAAAATAGAGAATATTTCATATCAAGTTTTTATGTAAAATTTGTTTTAATTCTATTCTACAGTAGATGCTGTAGCTATAAAATTAATTTCTATACAGTCCTTCAACAATATTATATTCATAGTATTCATACAAAGGACATTTTGCCCCAAAATTAACACTATTTTTATACTACAAAATAAATAAGAACTACAGCAAATAAACAAACAAATGAATAAATAATTAAACACACACACAGGAGCTGTCACTCAACCCCTGCAACCACATACAGGTGAGCACACACATGTGCTTACGCAGGAACCATGCATAGTTTTAAGACAAGGTATGATAAAGCTCATGGAGAAGGGAGAGGACCTAGTAGTGACCAGTGAAGAGGCAGGGCCAGGAGCTATGACTCAACTCCTGCAACCACAAATAGGCGAGTACACACTAGACCTGCTGTTGGAGTGTGAGCAAGGTAACAGTTATGAAGGGATTCAGGGAAACCGGCAGGCCAGACTTGAGTCCTGGAGATGGGAAGTACAGTGTCTGCACTCTGAAGAAGATGTGTTAATGTTGCAATTTATAACTGTAATGTAAGCATGCCTCTGGCAAGACAGTGATGGAGTGAATGATGATGAATGTTTTTCTTTTTCGGGCCACCCTGCCTTGGTGGGAGACGCCCAATGTGTTAAAAAAAAACACCAACATACACACACACATACAGGCAAGCATGCACATGCATGCTGTGACTCAACTCCTGCAGCCACACACAGAGGCACACCACTGATTTACCAGCAACAGATTGTCCAGCCCCTCTTTTAGTTTGGGCAAAATTATAAGGCTACATTTTTGCCTAAATAATTTACCTGGCAGCCACAGATGGCAGTGATGTGTGCTCATTTACAATGTTTGCACTGCAGTTGTTGGTGGTGATCCCTTGATTCTGTGTGACTCTTAGTATAATTTGCTAACACTAGCGATTAGCTTTGCAGTGCCAGTGAAATTCTAATATTCATCACTCTGGGAGTGGTGATAATACAACATTCTTTACAAGTACAGTAACAAACAAACTTGTTTTATTTAAACTAATGGTTAATTTAAGTTTCCAGCAGACCATGGTAAATCAGAGGTCTACTGTTAAATTATTATTACGTGACCTCTGCTGGTCCAGCAAAATTGATATATCAGCAAAGTCGAGGATCCAAGGTTGCCGGAAAATCAGTGTTGCTCTTTGTACTGGTGCATGATGTAGAAATACAACAATTGATAATTACTGTACAAATTATAAAAGGGGAAAAAATAACATTGTGAAGTCTCTATTATGCAACATACAGTGCCTCAGGCAAGACTATAACTCACAAGAATAGAATACAGTACAGGTGCACCTTAACTTAAATAGGGTTATGTTCCAAAGAATCCATTGTAAGTTGAAAATATCTTAAGTCGAATATGAATACAGTGATACCTCGCATATCCGACCTGCCATTATTCAAACCTCACCGAGCAGGCCCTGGGAAAGGGCAAAATTCTAAAATTATTACCGAAACATCCGAACAGCTATTCGGATATGGCAGAAGTCTGAATCAAACTTGCTGCACACTTTAGTGTACTGGTTGGCCACTAGGAGCCATGTTATTTGCCTTCCTTTTAGCATTATTACAGCTGTGTATGGCACCAAAGAGGGCCAGGAATATGCTCACTCTAGAAAAAAAAGAGGGAAATATTGTAGCATGTGGATGCAGGTTGACCCAAGGCTGGGGAAAAAACTACAGAAGACGACGTGCAGGACTGGCTAGTGTGTGATGAAGATGACCCTGGTGTGCAATCTCTGATGGATGCAGAGACTGCAGAATCAGTGTTGCACCCGGAACATTCCGAAAGTGACGACGACAATGACAACCCAATGCCTCTAAGACCAAAAACTTCACCAGCAAGGGCAGGTGTCAAAACACTTTTGGAGTATTTGGAGCAGCCACTGTCCACAACCCATTTGAAAAGTTATGGTCCTGTGGTCCATGAAATCCGAGAGGCTGTTATTAGAGTCCAGAGTGTCTGGTCCCACCGCCAGACGACATTGCACTCATTTTTTTTAAACCTACAATGCAGTCACCAATGGCGATATGACAGTATGGATGTGTATCCCCCCCCCCCATGTATCAGGAAACTCTGTGTTTCCGAACCAGTCTCGGCCATGAAAGGTATCACTGTACAGGTCTCCCTCAACATTCGCGAGGGTTAGGGGATCAAGAGCCTCGCGAATGTTGAAAAACCGTGAATGTTTGGTGCCCCAATATATTGTAGGGAAATATATTACAATACTGCTTCCTTAACTTGTTGAACCATGAATAATCATAAAATACATGAAAACGTCGTAAATTGTACTAAATATATACATGTTATGCTTTAATAACGTATGTTATTTAATAACATGTATGTAATAAAATGTATGTTATTAAATACCACAGACTCCACCACTGCCTCCACCAATGCGAGTCCCTACTACCCTCCCTCCGACCCCCGCAACTGGCAGCCAGCCCTCCCACCACTCAGTGTGGTGAGTGTTTTGTTTGTTCATTATTTGCTATTAAACTACAGAATAAATAATGTAAACCCATTCATGACTGCATATTGGAATGGCTATTAGGAAAGGTATTAGACGGTGACATCATGTGTTTACTCTTGAACACAGCAAAGAATCGAACATTTCTGCTATTGCTAATAATAACAATAGTAAATAATAATAATAATAATAATAATAATAATAATAATAATAATAATAATAATAATAATAAATAATAATAATTAATAATAAATACGATATAATTGAAGAAGGAAATTGTACAAAAATACGAGGGAGTGGTTGACATATCGTCAGTGTGACTTTGTTTATGCTGGAGTGAACATTAGTCTCCCTGCTCTTCCAAACATTTCACAATAATTCAGCAGTTGAGGCAGTGGTATTTAATAACATATATGTTATAAATAATAATAGTACATGTTATTATTAATAACATGTATTTAATAACATATATGTTATAAATAATAATAGTACATATTATTAATAACATGTATTATTATTAACGTGTATGTTATTAAATACCATTGCCTCAATCACTGCCTCTACCACTCCAGTCACACTCAATCTTCAAGCACCAAACACAATGAATTATTGTGAAATGTTTGGAAGAGCAGGGAGACTAATGTTCACTCCAGCATAAACAGTCACACTGACAATGTGTCAACCATTCCCTCGTATTTTTGTACAATTTCCTTCTTCAATTATATCATATTTATTATTATTATTATTATTATTACTACTATTGTTATTATTAGCTGTAGCAGAAATGTTTAATTCTTTGCAGTGTTCAAGATTAAACACATGATGTCACCATCTAATACCTTTCCTAATAGCCATTCCAATATGCAGTCATGAATGGGTTTACATTATTTATACTGTAGTTTAATAGCAAATAATGAACAAACAAAACACTCACCACACTGAGTGGTGGGAGGGCTGGCTGCCAGTTGCGGGGGTCGGAGGGAGGGTAGTAGGGATTCGCAGGTGGCGGGAAATTTAAATATGATTTGGCGGCTGGGAATTTGGTGGCTGGGAATTTGGCGGTTGGGAATTCACGAATGTGTGAAGCCCGTGAAAGTTGAAAACGTGAATGTTGAGGGAGACCTGTATATGCTAAATAAGCAAATAAACTAATACCAGTATTGAAAAGTAAATAAATGAATGCAAGTTTATCCTATCAATAAACAAACAGTACTGTACAGTACAGAATGAGCATCACTATCATACCATCTTGAAGTTAAAATATCCTAAGTCAAATTATCATAAAGCAAGGAGCGTCTGTATGTACATACCATAATCATAGAAAAGGGTGCACACCAACTCTCAATTTTTAAATAAGAATCTTACCTTTTCGTGAAAGATGGGTCCAAAAACAAATCAGGAATATCCATGCCAGATTCTAAAGCCACAATATATAGCCCAAGCATGTGTCTATCAATGCCTTCATTTTTCTGGCATTCTTTCATGAGTCGGTTGTGGCAGTCCACTGCTGCTACTAGCTTGCGACGCTTCTCGGCAGTCTGGAAGAAAGATTTTCGTGTGCTGGGTACAGTGCAATAGTTTGAATCTCATTTAATGCTGTATATCACAATTTCAAACTCACACTCAATAAGACAGACAGTCCTTGATGATACACTGACTTTCTTGGGTTATCCTGGGTAGCTAATACTACTCCGGGTAAAAATCTAAACAAAATTTTATCTTATAACTCCAGGATTTGAAGCTTTGTCTGCCATAACATCATAGAATTAACCTTCAATATAATGACCCTCAATTAAATGGACTTCAGAAATAGAGCAAAATCTGGTGGATCAATGGACTCAGAAACAATGGTAAAAATCTGTGAGTTATGAATTTTTTTTTCATTGTTACTATTTACAGCAAAACATCTCTTCTCTATCCTCCATACCTGCCATTACTGACCATCCACTTCCTCCCTATTAGTTAGTTACAAGGAAGGCTTACTTTAATTACAAGGCTAAGTACCATCCCATAGCAGTCCTAAATTATGTTAAACATAAGAACATAAGAAAGGAGGAACACTGCAGGAGGCCTGTTGGCCCATACTAGGCAGGTCCTTTACAATTCATCCCACTAACAAAACATTTGCCCAACCCAATTTTCAATGCCACCCAAGAAATAAGCTCTGATGTGAAAGTCCCACTCAAATCCAACCCCTCCCACTCATGTACTTATCCAACCTAAATTTGAAACTACCCAAAGTCCCAGCCTCAATAACCCAACTAGGTAGACTGTTCCACTCATCAACTACCCTATTTCAAACCAATACTTTCCTATGTCCTTTCTAAATCTAAACTTATCTAATTTAAATCCATTACTGCAGGTTCTCTCTTGGAGAGACATCCTCAAGGCCTTATTAATATCCCCTTTATTAATACCTATCTTCCACTTATACACTTCAATCAGGTCTCCCCTCATTCTTCGTCTAACAAGTGAATGTAACTGAAGAGTCTTCAATCTTTCTTCATAAGGAAGATTTCTAATGCTATGTATTAATTTAGTCATCCTAGCATTAGAAATCTTCCTTATGAAGAAAGATTGAAGACTCTTAAGTTACATTCACTTGTTAGACGAAGAATGAGGGGAGACCTGATCGAAGTGTATAAGTGGAAGATAGGTATTAATAAAGGGGATATTAATAAGGTCTTGAGGATGTCTCTCCAAGAGAGAACCCGCAGTAATGGATTTAAATTAGATAAGTTTAGATTTAGAAAGGACATAGGAAAGTATTGGTTTGGAAATAGGGTAGTTGATGAGTGGAACAGTCTACCTAGTTGGGTTATTGAGGCTAGGACTTTGGGTAGTTTCAAATTTAGGTTGGATAAGCAAATAAAGAGAAATGGTGTAAATCTTTCATACAAAAGCATACATACCTTTGCTTTGGGATTTAGCATTGTTTGTACCCAGTCAACAGATTCTGCCGTGCAGGAACGCATGGTTTCAGTACGACCAGCGTGAAACTGACGAGTAGATGCTGTCTCATAGGTGGGTGCGGGCCTACAAGTAGAGTATGTGAACATATAAAATAATAGTGAACCTTGTATCATTCTTATAACCCGAAAGGGGCTCACTTTTCTGATAATTTGTAGAGTCCCATCATGGAGCAAAAAATAATTTATGGTGCCTTTAGATAACAGTATAATGCTTTGATAAGTTAGACACATGTCTAATTTATCGTTTCGGTTCTCTGAACCATTCATCTACAGTATAATGCTTTGCCTTCTTCAGGGACCCAATCAGAGACTCATAAATCTTCATGAGGAAAGAGTGAAAAGCGTAGTTCTAGATTTGGCAGAAAGTGGTCCAAATTGCTCACAAGCAGGAATAATGACCATTTGGATTCACTTTCAAAAATTCTATAAATACTAAGAATACATCTAAATCACCACATTATTTCAATGATGAAACATTAAAGGGTTAAGAAATTTGGAACTACCCTCCCCTTCTCTGGACACTTAATAATCCACAACATTAACCAGGATCAAAAAAGTCATGACTTTACTGAAATATCTTAGAAGATAGTATGAGCAACAGGAATTTAAATCAGTGTGTTGAGAGGATGAGCTCAATGGAACTAGAAAGATGCTCCTGATTCATATCATTAAGAAAAATGAAGATAAGATGCAGGTTAGAGAGAAAAAGAGATGCTTTCTGCACAGGTGAAGACGAAGAATCACTAAACTTACAAAAGTTCTCACATCGTCTCAAGAGCAAAAATAAATACTGGTTAGAATGATGGAAAACACTGAGACAAAACTGAATGTATCACACAGAGTCCATAAAAGACAGACGGAGCCAAAGCCCATTACTGAAATTGAGGAAACCCAAAATACTTTTTTTCATTTGCAAAATCCAGGGGAAATGTCACATCTAATATTAGGCTCTTGCTTAAAGGAGATGGAACTTACACTAATGGCATGTGAAGTAAGTGAAATACTTAAGTCCTAATATAACTCTGTGTTCAGTGAGTCATTAATCAGACTAAAGATTAACAATCAAATTAAATTTTTCATGATGAGACACACAACTCTTCCAACACCTCTAAAATTTCTGACATAACCATAAACCCACTCAACACTGAAGAAGCCATTGATAGTGTGCCCATGAACTATGCTCCAGGCAAGAAGCACCATTATATACCTTACATATACTACTGAGACAAAGTTTTAACAAAGGAGTCATCCCAGTTATGAAAAAAAGCATGGATAGAGCCCCACTCTACAAAAATGACAGTATAGCAACTGTTTAACACAGTGAATAACAACAATTGCACAACTCAGGGTAATATGGGTTTAGAGCAAGTTGCTCTTGCCTCTCACAACTGCCTATATCACCTTGACATGGTCCTGGATGCACCAGAAGACATACAAAATTCAGACATAGTATATCCTAACTTTTCAGTCTTCAACAAGTGTGATCATGGTATAATAACTCAAAAAATAAGTCAGTTACAGGAACATTGCCTGTCATTAGTATTGAAAAGTCAATTACAACACTGCGTCATTCAAGTACTGATAAGTCACTTACACTGTCACTCAGGTACTGATAAGAACACTGCCTGTCATTATTGATGAATCAGTTATAAGAACACTGCCTGTCATTCAGATATTGATAAGTCAGTTACAAAAACACTGCCTGTCATTCAGTACTGATAAGTACATCTTCACAGATGAAGACACTCCTGTCATTCAGGTACTGAAGTAATACACACTGCCTGTCACTCAGGTACTGATAAGAACACTGCCTGTCCATTCAGTATGATAAAAGTCAATTACAAGAAACTGCCTGTCATTCAGTATGATAAGTCTTACAAGAACACTGCCTGTCACTCAGGTACTGATAAGAACACTGCCTCTCACTCAGATATTGATAAGAAACTGCCTGTCATTCAGTATAGATAAGTCAGTTACAAGAACACTGCCTGTCATTCAGGTACTGATAAATAAGAACATTGCCTGTCACTCAGGTACTGATAAGAACACTGCCTGTCACTCAGGTACTGATAAGAACACTGCCTGTCATTCAATATTGATAAGTCAGTTACAAGAACACTGCCTGTCATTCAGGTACTGATAAATAAGAACATTGCCTGTCATCAGGTACTGATAAGAACACTGACACTGTCGTCATCAGTGTAGTCAGTTACAAGAACACTGTCTGTCATTCAGTACTGATAAGTCAGTTACAAGAACACTGTCTGTCATTCAGTACTGATAAGTCAGATACAAGAACAGTCTGTATCATACGATAGTCATTACAAGACACTGCCTGTCACTCAGGTACTGATAAGTCAGTTACAAGTACACTGCCTGTCATTCAGGTATTGATAAGTCAGTTATAAGAACACTGCCTGTCACTTAGGTACTGATAAGAACACTGCCTGTCATTCAGTACTGTTAAGTCAGTTACAAGTACACTGCCTGTCATTCAGTATTGATAAGTCAGTGACAAGAACATTACTTACCTGCCGTGTAAGCGCCAATAAGCCAGTTGCAAGGACATTTGAACAAAAGCATCAGGATGCAGCTTATAAGGCTTCATAAAATCCTTCCCATACTCGGTGAAGAACAATGACTTGGCACATATGTTGTTGATCTAAGAGAAAATAAAAAAGCAATGCTTATTGAAAATTTATGCAAATTATCATATTTGTGGGAAAGAGCTAAACCTGTAAGACTCACACAGGACCTAGAGAATGATAGGATAGTAGCAACTCCCTGAGTGGGTACTGTCTACATACTTACTACCTGTAATTATACTAATACTACCACTAATAATAATAATAATAATAAACTTCATAAAATAAATAATAAGTAACTTAAGCTTATAAAAGAGCAATAAAATTTTGAATTTACCTATTACAGTAGTATTTTATATATTTTTTAACACATCGGCCGTTTCCCACCGAGGCAGGGTGACTCAAAATGAAAGAAAACTCAAAAAGAAAGAAAAAACTTCATCATCATTCAACACTTTCACCATCACTCATGCATAATCACTGTCTTTGCAGAGGTGCTCAGATACAATAGCTTATCCCAAACCCCTCCTTTAAAGTGCAGGCATTGTACTTCCCATTTCCAGGACTCAAGTCTGGCTAACCAGTTTTCCTGAATCCCTTCACAAAATATTACTCTGCTCACACTCCAACAGCTCATCAGGTCCCAAAAACCATTCATCTCCATTCACTCCTATCTAACACACTCACGCATGCTTGCTGGAAGTCCAAGCCCCTCACCCACAAAATCTCCTTTACCCCCTCCCTCCAACCTTTTTGGGGATGACCCCCTACCCTGCCTTCCTTTCCCTACAGATTTATATGCTCTCCAAGTCATTCTACTTTGTTCCATTCTCTCTAAATGACCAAACCACCTCAACAACCCCTCTTCAGCCCTGACTAATACTTTTAGTAACTCCACAGCACCTCCTAATTTTCACACTATGAATTCTCTGCATAATATTTACACCACACATTGCCCTTAGACAGGACATCTCCACTGCCTCCAGCTGCCTCCTCGCTGCAGCATTTGCAACCCAAGCTTCACACCCAAGTGTTAGGCTTGCCAACACTAACAATGCTCTGTTCTGTCACGTCAGAGATCACATCCATCCTATTGACTGGTCTTCCGCTAAAACTGTCTTCCCTACTTCCAACTCTAACAGTCGCCGTCTAGTTGAATCCTCTCTAATACACAACTTTCCTTGTATGAATCTTAGTCCTGGCTTCGTCTCCCACTATATTGTAAAATGCTCCAAACTTCAGAACACCCGTGACTTAACCTGATTCCTCATTTTTTCTTTTTCTCCCTCTTCCCCTTTCCTCTTTCTTCTTTTTTTCTCCTCTGGGTTGTCTTTCTTTCTTCTGTCTCATGTTTCTGTTCCTTCATTATTTATTTCATCACTTCCCCTTCCCCCCACCTCCGTGCACTTGCTCTCCCTCTGTGGGCACCTAGCTCCTTTGCAGTGCTCTCCTTTCTTTGTATTTGACTGGCAGCAGCGGCTGCGGCTGCGGCGGCGGCTCCTTCTCCTCCTCCTACCACTACTACTACTACTACTACTACCACTACTACAACCACTACCAGTACTACTACCACTACTACTACCACCCCTTCCTGCCTATATATAGCCGTCCTGCTCCACTTCTGGTCCAAGTCGGACCGAAACGTCGTCGTAAGCTCCTCTCTTCTATGTACGGGTTATTTGTGTATATTTCACACCCATATAATAGTGTTAATACTCTCGTATATTCCCTTCTTTGCCTCCATTGATAGCGTTCTTTGTCTCCACATATACCTCAATGCACCACTCACCTTTTTTCTTTCATCAATTCTATGGTTAACCTTATCCTTCATAAACCCATCTGCTGACAAGTCAACTCCCAAATATCTGAAAACATTCACTTCTTCCATACTCCCTCCTTCCAATGTGATATCCAATTTTTCTTTATCTAAATCGTTTGATACCCTCATCACCTTACTCTTATCTATTTTCACTTTCAACTTTCTACTTTCAAAGTTTTAAATTCTAAATAAAAATTGTATTCATATTCTGCACTTTATAAGCAATTAGTCTAATAAAAAATTAACAACAAATTCTGAAACCTTTAATTATTTTATGAAATATAAATGTGGAAAATAATTTCTGACCTACATCACGTTATTATTATGGGGAAGTACTAAGCCTATAAGAACCACACAGCATCTGGGCCTGCATCATACATCATGTACATTATATAACATCAATTTCTGAACATTCTCAACCTTGGTAAAACTAAGTTATTTAGTTCTGCAAATGGTATGGTGATATCTATCGACTGTGGGGGTGAAAAAAGGACATCTGTGTACAGTTCAGGGCATTTATTTAAGAAAATGTTTCACCAGGAGTAGCTTCTTCAGAGCTTAGGACTCCTGAAGTCACTCCTGCTGAAACATTTTCTTTCATAAATGTCCTGAATTGTCCTAGGTTATTCTAGGCTGGCATTAGTTTATTTTAACCTTCCTCTATCCCATGTGGCCCGGTGGCCTGGTGGCTAAAGCTCCCGCTTCACACACGGAGGGCCCGGGTTCGATTCCCGGCGGGTGGAAACATTTCGACACGTTTCCTTACACCTGTTGTCCTGTTCACCTAGCAGCAAATAGGTACCTGGGTGTTAGTCGACTGGTGTGGGTCGCATCCTGGGGGACAAGATCGAGGACCCCAATGGAAATGAGTTAGACAGTCCTCGATGATGCACTGACTTTCTTGGGTTATCCTGGGTAGCTAACCCTCCGAGGTTAAAAATCCGAACGAAATCTTATCTTGTGTGTGTGTCATATGAGGCGACTAAAATGCAGTGAGCAAGGGGCTAGTAACCCCTTCTCCTGTATAAAGTACTAAATGTGAAAAGAAGAAAAACTTGTTTCTTTTTTTTCAGGATCACCCTGCCTCAATGGGAAATCGCTGATGTGTTAAAAATACAGATAATTAAACAGAAAATCGAACACTTTATGATGATTTATATGCCTATTTTACCTAAAAATTTAAGTATGCCAGAATATGCTTCAAACTGATATGATCCATCGAAATACTTTGTCAATGGTCCAAGTCGGACCGAAACGTCGTCGTAAGCTTCTGTCTTTTATGTGCGGGTTATTTGTGTATCGTTCCAGTCACGGTATTGTGCCTTTTTGTTATTTATGCAGTAAAATAACTTTTTAGCTAATTTTTGTAGAGAAATGGGCTGGATACAGCTCTAGGCAGTATAAGGGGTTCCAAAACTGACTCGTAAAAACATATGCCTTTTGCATACATCACAAGGACATGCTGGTACATTACACAACTAAGTCTTTCGTAAGCTATAGCAACCTTATCCCTCACACATTTTACTTTTTAACATGCTAGTTGTCTCCCGCTGAGGTAGGTGACCCAGAAAAACAAGAAACACTTTCATCATCATTCACCCTGTCAATGTTGTGCTTGTCAGAGGCACACTAATACTACAGTTCAGATGCCTCTCCAAACTGCAGTATTCTTGCCCCTCCTTCAGAGTGCAAACACTGTACTTCCCACAAAATGCACTCAACCTGTATGAGTCACAAAGCACCAAAATACTAAAGGAATAGCACAACAGAGCAACAAGCTAATAAGGAAAGACAGTATTGATGGAATAAACCTGTTTCAATCAACAAGTCATAGAGTGTATCAGTACTGAAAGTTAGGCATTTCAATATTCCTCATACAAAGATTTATTTTTGTATGATACAATGTTTATACAGAGATGGGTGACACAGGGGCATCGTAAGAGAGGGGCGTTGTAAGGGGGGAGGCACCCCGGGTGACACCATTTAGGGGGTGACACCATAGAGCCTCTAAAGAAGGTAACACTAATGACCAAACCATGCTGCAGCAGCCTAAGAGAAAAATCCTTCGTTTCTTTACAGCGTATTATAGGATTACAGATACAAATAGGCTTATATAGGGAAAATCATTGATCTTGATGATGTGATAGATGATTTTGCAGGATTGTAGGCAAGGAAATGAAATATCAGATTCATTGAGATGTTACCAGTACTCAAGGTTAAATCAGAACTAGTGTTTTTCTTTATTTTTCAAGTTTTTTTTTTTTCATTGTTGAAAATGAATAAATGTAGGATCTGTTGGCTGTACTCAAAGTGGTATTTAAGTTTATGTTTCCTCAATATTACTACGATTATATATTTTATCATTAATAAAATTTGGTTTAAGGCCTTTAAACGTTTAGTTTTCATTGCTAAACATGAGGTCACTGGTACTGCAGCAGTGATGTAACTGGAGTTTACTATCCCTATCCCCCTGCCCTTGGATTTCATGGGGGTGACACCAAAGATACTGCCTAGGGTGATACCAACCCAAGCGATGCCTCTGGGGGGACATTTGGCTGTGCATGCAGAAAGCACATAGTTATGCAGAGCAATTCAGGCAATCTTAAGCCTAACTTAAGACTACAATGGCAATAATTATTATATGATGCATATAAGGACATTAAAGGCATACAAACAACAAATTTGAGCAAGGGGCTAGTAACCCCTTCTCCTGTATATATTACTAAATGTAAAAGGAGAAACTTTCGTTTTTCCTTTTGGGCCACCCCGCCTCAGTGGGATATGGCCGATGTGTTGAAAGAAAGAAAGAAACAACAAATTTAGGCATTACAAAGAACAAACGAGCAAACAAATATTTCTTTAAAGTTGAATTTTTTTTTTTAACAAGTCGGCCGTCTCCCACCGAGGCAGGGTGACCCAAAAAGAAAGAAAATCCCCCAAAAGAAAATACTTTCATCATCATTCAACACTTTCACCTCACTCACACATAATCACTGTTTTTGCAGAGGTGCTCAGAACACAACAGTTTAGAAGCATATACATATATGTATAAAGAAACACAACATATCCCTCCAAATTGCTAATATCCCAAACCCCTCCTTTAGAGTACAGGCATTGTACTTCCCATTTCCAGGACTCAAGTCTGGCTATATAAAAATAACCGGATATAAAAATAACAGGATATAAAAATAACTGGCTATAAAAATAACCAGATATAAAAATAACCGGTTGAATTATGATATAAATAATGAGAATAAGAATAAATATTTTTTTTTTTTTTTTTTTATTATCACACTGGCCGATTCCCACCAAGGCAGGGTGGCCCGAAAAAGAAAAACTTTCACCATCATTCACTCCATCACTGTCTTGCCAGAAGGGTGCTTTACACTACAGTTTTTAAACTGCAACATTAGTAGGTTGGTAGACAGCAACCACCCAGGGAAGTACTACTGTCCTGCCAGATGACTGTGAAACAGAAACCTGTAACTGTTTTGCATGATGGTAGGATTGCTGGTTTCTTTTTCTGTCTCATAAACACGCTAGATAACAGGGATATCTTGCTACTCCTACTTACACTTTGGTCACACTTCACAGACACGCACATGCATATATATATACATACATCTAGGTTTTTCTCCTTTTTCTAAATAGCTCTTGTTCCTCTTTATTTCTTCTATTGTCCATGGGGAAGTGGAAAAGAATCTTTCCTCCGTAAGCCATGGGTGTCGTATGAGGCGACTAAAATGCCGGGAGCAATGGGCTAGTAACCCCTTCTCCTGTAGACATTTACTAAAAAAGAGAAGAAGAATAAATAGTTTTTAACATATTTTTTGTTGAAAGAATTGTTTAGCATATTTAACACATTTTTAACAAGCAAAAAAAAATAAAATAAAAAGCAAGAATAAAAATCACATAACTCACATATGATAGGCTGGTTTCTTTAGCAGAAGATATAGCTGCTACAAGCTTGGCATCCAGATCAAAGTTCAAAAGAATGGGCATTGGAAACTCTCTTATTTCTGCAGGTCCTGTCCACTGACCTTCTATGTCCTCCAGCATCAAGTGTTGGTAGTGACCCAACATTACAGAGACCATTGCATCGTATGGTGTGTGCTGAAAACGACAGAACAAAAACCACTGAGAACCTTGGAAGTAACATTAATTCAAACCAAAATTATAATCCTAATAGTTCCAAATTAATGTGGTGTGGGCAGGCAAAGATGAATGAAAACTGAACAATTCTGAACACAAATGAGTGAAGTCATAGCAAGAAGGAAAAATATAAGGAGACTAAACAAGAATGAGCAGTCACAGAAAGAAGGAAAAAGACAAAAGCAAAGAATAAAACAGACAAACAAATTTAGAAGAGAGAGAAGTATCAGCAAGACAAAAAAAATTGCTAAAATGCAAAAAAATGTTGCAAGTCCTGCAGTGTTATATCAGCCTACTGGAGAGAGGAAGTTAGCAATCAATTTATTCAATTAGAAAGGTAGTCAATGGGTAAGATTATTATTATATTTGTGAAGAACTAAATCAGTAAGGGATGCACTATATCTGGGGAAATGGAAGTTAGTCAGGTGTGATTCAAGGAAGGGGATAGCTCCAATTCCTAAGATGAAGAGCCTTGCACTGGCATCAAGGCTCTCCCCCTCCCCTTAAAATGAGGATAAGATTAAAGCTAGAAAGATATAATATGTAACTGAGGTAAAACCTATAAAATTAAAGAGATAAAGAAAATGAGGCAGTACTGCTACTGTATTACTATACAGAAATTAAAAAAAAGTAGAGTTTACCCTGCACCAAAAACCCGCACTTAGAGAACAAACTTATGGCAATGACTCATGAAACTGTAATAATACTACTGCAAACAAACCAGAGTAAGGGTGGGGTTAGAACCCATGGCAAGTGAGCAGCAAAATTCCAGGTTACCGCATTGGCTTAGAGTTTTACAACTCACTTGCCATGGATTCTAACCCTACTTGTACCCTGGTTTCTTATGGTAATGTTACGTGAACCATTAACTGGTAATACTGAGAAGTGCTAAGGAAAGGCAGTTAGATTATATATACTGCATCCACTATTACTACCACTGCTACTACTATTTTGTCACTAACACTTCACTCTCTGCTCCTTTTCACTACCACTACTACCTTCTTATTTCCACTTCTATCACTGATGCACTACTTATACTACTGCCCCCACCACTACTACCACCCCCACCACTATTACTAACTACCACCACCACTACTACTACCACCACCACTACTACAACTATCACCACTACTACTACTACTACACTACATAACTACCCACTATACACTACCACACTCAACTATTGCTACTAACTACCATCACCACCACTACTACTACTAACTACCATCACCACCACTACTACTATTACTAACTACTACCCAAAATAGAATTTGAAATAATGAATTCAGATTTAATAAAATAACCTTTAAAAAGGAAAATAGAAAAGAAGAAATTTGATAAGAAAGTTTTGTATTTATGTAACACACTAAAAAGCTTGAACAGTTACATAAGTTGTGCTAGAGTGAGAGTTGGACCTACCTACCATGTTTTTTATGTTCTTATGCAGAAATTAAAACACTGGTTTAACAATAGATGGAGATGAGTGGAATATGTAATTGTGGGCAAGACCTTCTTAGCATGGACAGTAGGCCTACTACAGTGCTGCTCTACTCTTGTTTTCTGAGGTATACTGATTACAGTTTATAGATTTCAAATCTTCTGCAATATTACCCATAATAAGTTGACTCCCCACTTTTTGCCAACAAAATTCTTCTTAGACCATCACCATATACTCAACTGTACTTAACAATATTCTACGTGTACATCACACATTGTATAAATAACAAAAAAGGCACAATACCGTGACTGGAACAATACGCAAGTAACCTGCACATAGAAGAGAGGAGGTTACGACGACGTTTCGGTCCGACTTGGAGCATTTACAAAGTCACACTAACGAGAAGTAGAGCAGGACGGGTATATATAGGCAGGAAGAGGTGGTGGTGGTGGTAGTGGTAGTGGTAGTGGTAGTGGTGGTGGAGTAGTAGTAGTAGTAGTATAGTAGTAGTAGTAGTAGTAGTAGTTAGTAGTAGTTAGTAGTAGTTAGTAGTAGTTAGTAGTAGTAGTTAGTAGAAGTGTAGTATAGTAGTAGTATTAGTAGTAGTAGTAGATTAGTAGTAGTAGTAGTTAGTAGTTAGTATAGTAGTTAGTAGTAGTAGTATTAGTATAGTAGTAGAAGTTAGTAGTAGTAGTAGTAGTAGTAGAGTTAGTAGTAGTAGTAGTAGTAGTAGTAGTAGTAGTAGTTAGTAGTAGTAGAGTAGTAGTAGTATAGTTAGTATAGTAGTAGTAGTAGTAGTAGTAGTAGTAGTAGTAGTAATAGTAGTAGTCAGTAGTAGTCAGTAGTAGTAGTAGTAGTAGTAGTAGTGTAGTTAGTATAGTAGTAGTTAGTATAGTATAGTAGTAGTCAGTAGTAGTCAGTAGTAGTAGTAGTAGTAGTAGTATTATGCAAAGATATAAAAAAATTAATTTAATTATATAAAATACATTATACTGTGAGAATTCTTCTTCCATGAGCCATGCGTGTCGTAAGAGGCAACTAAAATAACAGGAGCAAGGGGCTACTAACCCCTTCTCCTATATAAATTACTAAATTTAAAAAGAAAAACTTTCGTATTTCTTTTTAAAAACTTTTGTTTTTCTTTTTAGGTCACCTGCCTCAGTGGCATACCTTTGATATACCTTTGAAGAGTTTCGAGAGTTAATCTACTCTGAGCCCAGCCATGGGCCAAGCATATGGCCAGTTTGCTAAAAAAACAAAAAAGTTATAATGTGCTGCAGTAATTTTTACCTAGTATGACATTAAAAAAAACTTATTTGGCAAATTTGGTGGACTGCAACCCTATTTCTTCCCATGTTCTTCATCTCACACAACACTAACATTACCTGACCATTTTCATAAATATTAAGAATGTTATGAGAGGGTTCACTGTAGCTAGAAATAACATTTAAACAATATGGAGAGGGAAGAGAGAAAAATGTAACCACAGAATGCTGAAAGTGGACAATGTTGTGCAAGATGAGAAGATTAAAAAAAGATGGGATACTATTAAAAAAACATGGGATGCTATAAAAAAAAAGATGGAAAGCTATAATAAAAAGATGGGATGCTAAAAAAGATGGAATGCTATGAAAAAATGGAATGCTATAAAAAGGAGAGAATGCTATAAAAGGGATGGAATGCTATAAAAAGGGATGGACTGCTATAAAAAAGGATGGAATGCTATAAAAAAAGAGGGGATGGGGGGAAGATGGGATGAAACAATGTTTCTCACAAGTCTTTTGTCATAAGAACAACACAAAAATCTTTTTTAAACTACATGTACTTATGCCTTACATCATTGTTCATGACTCCATATCCATTCCTTGTTAAAATGGCCGAGAGACTTTTGTCCGCCCAGCGATTAGTTGTGTCTCCACAAAGACCTTCCCAAATGAGCTGAAAAATAATTAACAATAACCATTTTAAAAGTGCTATAATAACAAGTACAATGTAACTTTTACTAATCATGCATAATATGTATGTTAGTATGTTATGACAAAAAACAAACACTGGGTAATTTCCCTTCCTACAATATACAAATAAAATACAGCACAGTAGGGCCCCTGTGTCCGTGGGGGATACGTTCCAACGACCTGTCATAGATACCGAAACCATGGATAGTAGCAAACCTGACATATAAGTCCTATACTTTTTTTTTTTCAACAAGTTGGCCGTCTCCCACCAAGGCAGGGTGACCCAAAAAGAAAGAAAATCCCCAAAATGAAAATACTTTCATCATCATTCAACACTTTCACCTCACTCATACATAATCACTGTTTTTGCAAAGGCACCCAGATACAACAGTTTAGAAGCATATATAAAGATATACAACATATCCCTTAAACTGCCAATATCCCAAACCCCTCCTTTAAAGTGCAGGCATTGTACTTTCCATTTCCAGTACTCAAGTCCGGTTACATAAAAATAACCGGTTTCCCTGAATCCCTTCACTAAATATTACCCTGCTCACACTCCAACAGCTCATCAGGTCCCAAAAACCATTGATCTCCATTCACTCCTATCTATTATGCTCACGCATGCTTGCTAGAAGTCCAAGCCCCTCACCCACAAAACCTCCTTTACCCCCACTCCCTCCTACCTTTTCAAGGACGACCCCTATCCTGCCTTCCTTCCCCTACAGATTTATATGCTCTCCAAGTCATTCTATTTTGATCCATTCTCTCTAAATGACCAAACCACCTCAACAACCCCTCTTCAGCCCTAATACTTTTAGTAACTCCACACCTCCTAATTTCCACATTCCAAATTCTCAGCATAATATTTACACCACACACTGCCCGTAGACAGGACATCTCCACTGCCTCCAGCCGCCTCCTTGCTACAGCATTTGCAACCCAAGCTTCACACCCATATAAGAGTGTTGGTACCACTATACTTCGTACATTCCCTTCTTTGCCTCCATGGATAACGTTTTTTGTCTCCACGTATACTTCAACGCACCACTCACCTTTTTTCCCTCATAAATTCTATGATTTACCTCACCCTTCATATACCCATTAGCTGACACATCAACTCCCATATATCTGAAAACATTCACTTCTTCCATACTCCTCTCCAATGTGATATCCAATTTTTCTTTGTCTAAATCATTTGATGCCCTCATCACCTTACTCTTATCTATGTTCACTTTCAACTTTCTACCTTTACACACTCCCAAACTCGTCCACTAACCTTTGCAACGTTTCTTTAGAATCACGCATAAGCACAGTACCATCAGCAAAAAGTAAATGTGTTAATTCCCATTTTGTATTTGATTCCCCATAATTTAATCCCACTCCTCTTCCAAACACCCTAGCATTTACATCTTTTACAACCCCATCTATAAATACATTAAACAACCATGGTGACATTACACATCCCTGTCTAAGTCCTACTTTTACTAGGAAGTAATCTCCCTCTCTTCTACACACCCTAACCTGAGCCTCACTATCCTCATAAAAACTCTTTACAGCATTTAGTAACTTACTACCTATTCCATATACTTGCAACATCTGCCACATTGCTCCCTTATCCACTCTATCATATGCCTTTTCTAAATCCATAAATGCAATGAAAACTTCCCTACCTTTATCTAAATACTGTTCACATATATGCTTCAATGTAAACACTTGATCTACACATCCCCTATCCACTCTAAAGCCTCCTTGCTCATCTGCAATCCTACCCTTTGTCTTACCTCTAATTCTTTCAATAATAACCCTACCATACACTTTTCCTGGTATACTCAGTAAACTTATGCCCCTATAATTTTTACAATCTCTTTTGTCCCCCTTCCCTTTATATAAAAGAACTATACACACTCTCTGCCAATCCCTAGTTACCCTTCCCTCTTCCATACATTCATTAACAAAAATACCAATCACTCCAACACTATACTCCCCCCTGCTTTTAACATTTCTGTCATTATCCCGTTAGTTCATGGTGCTTTATCCCCTTTCAATCTACGTAATGCCTCATGTACCTCCCCCTCACTCACAACCTGCTGTTCTTCACTCCTAAAAGATGTTATACCTCACTGGCCAGTGCATGAAATGACCGCCTCCCTTTCTTTGTTGACATTTAAAATTTCCTCAAAATATTCCCGCCATCTACCCAATACCTCCAGCTCCACCTCTACTAACTCCCCTACTCTGTTTTTAATTGATAAATCCATTCATTCCCTAGGCTTTCTTAACTTGTTTATCTCACTCCAAATTTTTTTCTTGTTTTCATCAAAATATCTTGACAGTGCCTCTCCCACTCTATCATCTGCTCTCCTTTTGCACTATGTCACTACTCTCATCACCTTTCTTTTACTTTCCATATACTCTGCTCTTCTTATAACACTTTTGCTTTGTAAAAACCTCTCATAAGCTAACTTTTTGTCTTTTATCACACCCTTTACTTCTTCATTCCATCAATCACTCCTCTTTCTCCCAGCACCCACCTTCCTATAACCACAAATTTCTGCCCCACATTCTAATACTGCATTTTTAAAACTATTTCAACCCTCTTCAACCCCCCTACTACTCATACTTACACTAGCCCCCCTTTCTGCCAAAAGTTGCTTATATCTCACCCTAACTTCCTCCTTCCTTAGTTTATACACTTTCACCTCTCTCTTACTACTTGTTTCTATTTTCCTTTCGTCGTATCTACCTCTTACTCTAACTGTGGCTACAACTAAATAATGATCTGATATATCAGTTGCCCCTCTATAAACATGTACATCCTGAAGCCTACCCATCAGCCTTTTATCCACCAATACATAATCTAACAAACTATTTTCATTACGTGCTATATCATACCTTGTATACTTATTTATCCTCTTTTTCATAAAATATGCATTACTTATTACCAAACCTCTTTCTACACATAGCTCAATTAAATGCTTCCCATTTTCAATTACCCCTGGCACCCCAAATTTACCTACTACTCCCTCCACAACATTTTAACCCACTTTAGCACTGAAATCCCCAACCACAAGCACCCTCACACTTGGTTCAAAACTTCCCACACACTCACTCAACATTTCCCAAAATCTCTCTCTCTCCTTTACACTTCTTTCTTCTCCAGTTAAATAAATGCTTACTATAACCCACTTTTCACATCCAACCCTTATTTTACTCCACATAATCCTTGAATTAATACATTTATATTCCCTCTATTCCTGCCATAACTTATCCTTCAACATTATTGCTACTCTTTCTTTAGCTCTAACTCTATTTGAAACCCCTGACCTAATCTCATTTATTTCTCCCCACTGAAACTCTCCCATCCCCTTCAGCTTTGTTTCACTTAAAGCCAGGACATCCAGCTTCTTCTCATTCATAACATTCACAATCATCTGTTTCTTATCATTCGCACAACATCTATGCATATTCAGACATCTCACTTTGACAATTTTCTTCCTCTTATTCTTTTTAGTAATAATTACAGGAAAAGGGGTTACTAGCCCATTGTTCACGGCATTTTAGCCGACTTTTACAACACGCATGGCTTACGGAGGAAAGATTCTTATTTCACTTTCCATGAATATAAAAGGAAAAGTAATAAGAACAAAAACTATTAAGATAAAATCAAAGAAAACTCAGATGAGTGTGTATAAATAAACGTGTACATGTGTGTGTAGTGTGACCTAAGTGTAAGTAGAAGTACCAAGACATACCTGTAATCTTGCATATTTATGAGACAGACAAAAGACAACAGCAATCCTACCATCATGTAAAACAATTACAGGCTTTCGTTTTACACTCACTTGGCAGGACGGTAGTACCTTCCTGGGTGGTTGCTGTCTACCAACCTACTATCATTTATTACCATTTATCTCCACTTAAAGAATGACCTGACAAATTAACAATTAACATACATGTTGATAAAGATACTGAGGAGTTCTATATGTTGTTGATAAAGATACCCAGGAGTTCTATATGTTGTTGATAAAGATACCCAGGAGTTCTACATGTCACTTCCTCATCTCATATTACCCGTATTAATTTTATTTCTTAAAGCTGGCAGTTTCATACCAAAGCATAATAGTAAAAAGAAAAAATACTGGTTATAAGGCCAGCAACTGTGATCCCCATTGACCTATCATGTACTGAAAAATACTTCCTTACTCCAAAACTCAAACAGTACATCACATTCCATTAACTATTTGCCCCTCACTCCTATCTAACATTTTCACATGCACCATCCTCACCCCTCTCGTTAGAGTGCCAGACTTGAGTCCTGGAGGTTTGTTATATAGTGCCTGCACTCTAAAAGAGAGGTGGAGATAATTGCTATTTGGAGGGTCTTCTGAACTGTTGCATTTGTATGCCTTTGGCAAGACAGTGATAGTATGAATGATGGTCAAACTGTTTCTTCTTCAGGCCACCCTGCCTCAGTGAGAGATGGTCAGTGTATTAACCACTTCATCATCCGTGTCATAATATTATGGGTTTGAAGTCAGTGTCTGTGCCATAGCATTACACCATGAGCTCAGTTCACTCAGATAAGCTGTGAGCAATAAATTTGGGCCTGGATATGAGAGAATGGGACTATGTGGTAAGTGTGCACCATAAAAAAAATCCTGCAGCACACAGTGCATAATGAGAAAAAAAACTGTGACTGCATTTTTGGTTTAAAACAGTGAATCTGAGGTGTATTTTTGTATGGTTTTTATGATTGTATTCACAGTTTCTTGGTCTCATTTGACAGAATGAAGATCTATTACAGAAATAGAGATGATTTTAACTGGTTTTAGGAATGAAAATAGCTTGAAATTGAGCTCAAAGTAGCGGGAAACATTCGATTTTTGCCATATTATTTATACAATTACAGTGGAACCTCAAATTTCGAACTTTCTTCGTTCCAGAAGGCTGTTCGAGTGCCATTACCAAACGAATTTATTCCCATTAGGAATAATGTAAATTAGATTAGTCCATTTCAGACCCTCAAAAATACACTTATAAAAGCACTTACAAAAATACACTTATATAATTGGTTGAGTTGGGAGCAGTTCGAAATTTGAGGTTCCACTGTATTACAATACTGCATAACAATAAATCTTCTATTTTTTGGTGAGAATAGAAATTGTGTGAATAAAAAATCAAAATGGGATTCATGTGTAAAGCCTGAAAACATAACTAATGAACAGAGGATATGTTAGTTTAGTGCCAGGAATGCCTGCACTGTTTAATCTGGACCCTATTTTGAAAGTGACATTTTCTGAAATTTGTGAGAAACTGGCCATATTACTGATTTCTGATCACTTTTTGGTAGTTGAAATAGGTGGGTCAATTGGAACAATGGAACTGGCCAAAAATAGGGCTCACAGTAGGCGAAATCACTTATGCGTAAATATCGCTGAAACCGCTAGCTTTGCGAGAGCATCATTTTGTAAGTTTTCCATCAAACTGCGTACTTCTGGTTTCATTACCTTCAGAAAAAAGGTTCTCTACTACAGTGGACCCTCAGTATACAGCCAGCTCCCTACCTGAGCAAAGCTCAGCACTCGACCAAACAAATACGACCTGCCAAAACTTTGCTGTAAACTATTTCGTGGTTCTTCGCTTTCTGTTTTCTTTTTTTGTATTATCTGTATAAGTCACCATGGGGCCTACGACGATTAGTGATAACAGCCAACCAAACAGAAAATTGGTTGCGAAGAACTTGTTCGATACTCAAATGGAGCGGCACTTGAACAGCCTTCTGTAATGAATTAAGGTCGCATAAAATGCCTGCACTTTAAAGGAGGGGTTTGGGATATTGGCAGTTTGGAGGGATATGTTGTGTATCTTTATACATATATGCTTCTAAACTGTTGTATTCTAAGCACCTCTGCAAAAACAGTGATAATGTGTGAGTGAGGTGAAAGTGTTGAAAGCATTTTCTTTTTGGGGATTTTCTTTCTTTTTTGGGTCACCCTGCCTCGGTGGGAGATGGCCGACTTGTTGAAAAAAAAAAAAAAAATGAAGGTCCACTGTATTTCACAAGAAAATATAACAAAAATTTTGGGGGGAAAATTCTTGGTGTGAGAATAATTTTTAGATTGATGGACTGGACACTGTAAGGGATAAAAAAAAATATACAGAAGATACCAAATACATTTAAAAATGCAAACTATTTTTTTTTTTAACACACCGGCCATCTCCCACTGAGGTAGGGTGAAAAAGAAGAAATGCTTTCACCATCACTCACTCAATCACTGTCTTGCCAGAGATGCACTGACATTACATCTCAGATGCCCCACTAAACTGATATATCCCTACCCCCTCCACCTGGAGGGGAATATTTGCAGTTTTGAACTGTAGCATAGACACCCCTCTTACAAAACAGTGACAGAGTGAGTAATGGCTTAAGTGTTTCTTCTTTTTCAGGATACCCTGACTCAATGGAAGACAGCTGATTTGTTGAAAAAAACAAAAAAATTGTCCATACACAATAATATTTTACCTGATTAAAGTTCTCTGGAGCCGTGTCGTCCAACACAAAGACAAACATAGAGGTTTCAATGTGCTCTAAATTCTTCATGTTGTTTAGAGTCAGGGATTTCAACCAGTCACGATTCTGAAAAAAATGTACACTACCAAAATTTTTGTTTCTTTGTACAGTAAACGATGTGTAGTTTACATGTAATAAATATTGTTATCAGACAATAAAATACAACACAGGACAAGTTTTATGTACCTAAACTTAAAGAATAAAAGAAGCCTTAAGTGTGGCATAATGCAATTTATTTTCCATCATGTCCGGTGAATTATACATTTATCTCCGACTTAAAGAATGACGTGACATCATTCAACAATAATCAGCTGACAGATTACATTATACCAACGAAATTGCTTTTATTTATTTTTTTAATAATCGGCCAAAAAGAAGAAATCCCAAAGAAGAAATTTGTTCATGATTTCAAACTTTCACCCACTCAATATCATCGTTTTTGCAGATGAACTCAGAAAGGACAAAGTTTAGAAGTACAAGGGACCCCCGACTTCAAGGCATCGACTTCGATAAATCGACATTCGAGTGATTTTAAACGCAAAATTATGCACTTCGCATATAAACGACAGTTCGATAGGAATAAAGAACGGTCAGTGTTCCAACGTGTGGCTGAACTGCCTGTCGCGATGTGCCATGTTTACAGCCAGAGTGTTCGCATCAAGGAAACATTTGTGACATGCCTATAACCAATAATCACGTTTGGTGCTTGTTTCTGCAAATAAGTAACTGTCCCAAGAAAGCTTACTAACCAACCCTTCGAGAAAAAAGTGCTAAGACATTGAAATGAAGAAAGAGATAATTGCAAAGTACAAAAGTGGATTTTGTACGTCAGACTGAATATGATTTGTAAAGAATTGCCTGCAACTAGTGGTAGATGTGATTATAAGGCCAGCAAAGTTGGTATGAAAGTACTAAGAACTTGTGGCATCCTAGCGTGCGTAAAGTATGAGGTCGTTCAAGTCCTAACTGGAAGGATCCGCTTCTTAACCTACACCATCCAACTACTCTCCTTCCCATCCCATCAATAGTTCACCATGATCTTCATTAAAGAAGTGCAATTATTCTATTGTATATAATCATTATTGATTTGTGTTTGTATCATATTTCTATTGCATTAACTTAATATTTCATGAAATGTTTTGTATAATATTTTTTTTCACGTATTTGGTTCGCAGTTATTTATTTGATATTATTCTTATGGATATAATTAATTTGATCTTCGAATCGTTTACATTCGATGGTCCAGGAACGGATTAATATCGAATGTAGGAGGTCCACTGATATATATAAAGAATACACAAACCCTCCATAATGGCGCATATCACAACTCCATCCTTTAAAGTGCAGGCATTGTATTTCCTATTTCCAGTATTCAAGTCCGGCTATATAAAAATAACTTTTTTCCCCTGAATCCCTTCGCTAAATATTACCCTGCTCACACTCCAACAGCTTGTCGGGTCTCAAATACCATTCGTCTCCATTCACTCTATCTAACACCTCATGCATGCTGCTGAGTCCAAGCCTCCCACAACTCCTTACCCCCCCTCCAACTTTGAGGACGACCCCTATCCCGCCTTCCTTCCCATACAGATTTATACGCTCTCCATGTCATTCTACTTTGATCCATTCTCTCTAAATAACCAAACCACCTCAACAACCCCTCTTCAGCCCTCTGACTAATACTTTCATTAACTCCACACCTCCTAATTTCCGCACTCCAAATTCTCTGCATAATATTTACACCACACATTGCCCTTAGACAGGACATCTCCACCGCCTCCAACTGCCTCCTCGCTGCAGCATTCACAACCAAAGCCTCACACCCATATAAGAGTGTTGGTACTACTATACTTTCATACATTCCCTTCTTTGCCTCCATAGATAATGTTTTTTGTCTCCACATATACCTCATGAACCACTCACCTTTTTCCTTCATCAATTCTATGGTTAACCTCATCCTTCCTACATCCATCCGCTGACACGTCAACTCCCAAATATCTGTAAACATTCACTTCTTCCATACTCCTCCTTTCCAATTTGATATCCAATTTTTCTTTATCTAAATCATTTGATACCCTCATCACCTTATTCTTTTCTAGGTTCACTTTCAACTTTCTACCTTTACATACTCATTTAATATACTTAAGAAATTAACATATAAGAGACCTAACAGATTAACATACCTAACAGATTAACATACCTAACAAATTAACATATAAGAGATCTAACAGATTAACATTTAGCATGCCTAACACATTAACATCTAACATACCTAACAGAATAACATTTAACAGCAAAATTATAATGAAAGTAAATACCTGAGCCCAGTTTTCCCTTGTGTCACAGGTAAGAACACTGATGCCAGGTCCAGGTCCCAGGTCATCACTCTGTTTCACGGATGTGTCTTAATTGTACTTCCAATTCTGGTGCAGACAATGGCTTACCTTAAAAGAAATAATAAAATTCCCATGAATAAATGTAATAATTCCTCTTAATTGTACAGTACTTAAGTATTAAAAAAATCTTTCGTCCTTTCAACAAATTGGCCATAGCCCAACAAGGCAGGGTGACCTAAAAAGAAAAACAAAATTTTCTCTTTTTAACCCGTAAACGGTCCAAACGTATATATACGTTTTTACCGCTAGTGCCCCAAACGTATATATACGTTTTATGTGTCCTACATTTAACATTGCTATGATAAGCCTGAGTCGCCTAGACATGTGAGAATGGGTGTGAGCACTCACTGTGCACCATATTAAAATAATTGGGGATGCCTGGGTACCATATGCTCTTTTTTCCTATTAAAAAACAACAATATTTTTTTCTCAAAAAAGCTGGGGCAGTACGGTAGTGAACGTATATATACGTTTGGACCATTTACGGGTTAAATATAGTAATGCATGCAAGCGAAGGGGTTAAAAAATATTATTCTTAATTAATACTGTAAAGCATCTGGAGATTCTTTCAACAATTAAACTAATATGAAAACTGGCATGATTGTTAACATCTGTACAGAAAGAATAAAAGTCCATGACTGGGTAAAACATCATCTAGTCTTTTTTCTATGTCAGTGTTTCCATACATGATAAATTATGAAGTGATTAGATTATCACTTCAGTGATAGAGTGAGTGAGTGATGATGAAAGTGTTTCTTCTATTTTAGGTCACTGCCTCGGTGGGAAATGGCCGATGTGTTAATATAAAAAAGAAATTGTAAAATGATAAACAAATATTTTTTCACCAAAGATATGTTCATAAGCAAATAACAGTGAATGTGAAGATGAAACATTTTGGAACAAAGATACAGTGGTACCTCGGGATATGAACAGCTCAAAACATGAACAATTATGTAAGTGTATTTATGAAAGTGCTTTTGTAAGTGTATTTTTAGGGGTCTGAAACAGATTAATCTAATTTACATAATTCCATAAGGGAACAAATTTGTTCGGTATCAGCACTCGAACAGCCTTCTGGAACGAATTAAGTTCGTATCCCGAGGTACCACTGTACATAACTATGACACATGTCCTGCTTATCAATCAGTGGCAACAATGTACAATACAGAAATAATACAAGTTTCGCCCACTAAAAGAGAAATAAATCAAGTTTAAAATTCTAAAAATAAATTTCTTAGGTTGCTAAGTTAATTTATTCCATTGTATTTTCCCTAGTGTATCCTTGGTCACAAAACAAAATTATTCCAAGCAAAAGTTCACTAATTTACCGAGGTACAACTATATTTTTTTTTTCAACGAACCGGCCATATCCTATACTATACAGTGGACCCCCGCATAACGATATTAATCCGTTCATGAGAGCTCATTGTTATGCGAAATTATCGTTATGCGAATGAATTTTCCCCATAAGAAATAATGGAAATCAAATTAATCTGTGCAAGACACCCCAAAGTATGAAAAAAAACATTTTTACCACATGAAATATTAATTTTAATACACACAAACTGAAAAAGGCATGCACAATTACATGACACTTACCTTTATTGAAGATCTGGTGATGATTGATGGGATGGGAGAAGGAGAGTCTCTTAGTGTTTAGAAGGGGAATCCCCTTCCATTAAGACTTGAGGTGTTAAGTCCTTTTCTGGGATTACTTCCCTTCTTCTTTTAATGCCACTAGGACCAGCTTCAGAGTCACTGGACTTCTGTCGCACAACATATCTGTCCATAGTGGCCTGTACCTCTCATTCCTTTATGACTTCCCTAAAGTGTTTCACAACATTGTCAGTGTAATAGTCACCAGCACGGCTTGCAATAGCTGTGTGAAGGTGATTTTCATCCATAAAGGTTTGCACTTTCAGCCACATTGCACAGATTTCCTTAATCTTTGTAGTAGGCAACTTCTTCAATTTCTCTCTCCCCTCCTCCGAACCAGTTTCCTCAGGTCTGGCCTCTTGCTGTTGAAGTTGATCTAGCAGCTCATCAGTGGTTAGTTCTTCATTGTCCTCCTCCACCAACTCTTCCACATCATCCCCAATAACCTCCAACCCCAAGGACTTTCCCAATGCCACAATGGATTCCTCAACTGCCATACTCCTCTCAGGGTTAGCCTGAAACCCTTCAAAATCCCTTTGGTCTACACATTCTGGCCACAGTTTCTTCCAAGCAGAGTTCAAGGTCCTCTTAGTCACTCCCTCCCAAGCCTTACCTATAAGGTTTACAAAATTGAGGATATTAAAGTGCTCTCTCCAAAACTCTCTTAGAGTCAGTTGAGTTTCTGAGGTCATTACAAAGCACCTTTCAAACAGAGCTTTTGTGTACAGTTTTATGAAGTTTGCAATAACCTGCTGGTCCATGGGCTGCAGGAGAGGAGTGGTATTAGAAGCAAAAACTTCACCTTAATGAAGCTCATGTCCCCATAAAGTCGCTCTGCCACATCTGTAGGATGACCAGGGGCATTGTCTAACACCAGGAGGCACTTAAGGTCTAATTTCTTTTCAGTTAGGTAATCTTTCACATTGGGGGCAAATGCATGGTGTAACCAGTCATAAAAAAAGTCCCTAGTGACCCATGCCTTACTGTTTGCCCTCCACAGCACACACAAATTAGCCTTGAGGATATTCTTTTGCCTGAACGCTCTGGGAGTTTCTGAGTGATACACTAATAAAGGCTTCACTTTGCAATCACCACTAGCATTGGAACACATCAACAGAGTAAGCCTGTCTTTCATAGGCTTATGTCCTGGGAGTGCCTTTTCCTCCTGAGTAATGTAGGTCCTGCTTGGCATTTTCTTCCAAAACAGGCCTGTTTCATCACAATTAAACACTTGTTCAGGTTTCAGTCCTTCACTGTCTATGTACTCCTTGAATTCCGGCACATATTTTTCAGCTGCTTTGTGGTCCGAACTGGCAGCCTCACCATGCCTTATCACACTATGTATGCCACTATGCTTCTTAAATCTCTCAAACCAACCTTTGCTTGCCTTAAATTCACTCACATCATTACTAGTTGCAGGTATTTTTTTAATTAAATCCTCATGCAACTTCCTAGCCTTTTCACTTATGATCACTTGAGAGATGCTATCTCCTGCTATCTGTTTTTCATTTATCCACACCAATAAGAGTCTCTCAACATCTTCCATCACTTGCGATCTCTGTTTCGAAAACACAGTTGAACCTTTGGCAAGAACAGCTTCCTTGATTGCCGTTTTGTTGCCCACAATAGTAGCGATGGTTGATTGGGGTTTATTATACAACCTGGCCAGCTCGGAGACACGCACTCCACTTTCATACTTAGCAATGATCTCTTTATTCATCTCTATAGTAATTCTCACCCTTATTGCTGTAGGGTTGGCACTAGAAGCTTTCTTGTGGCCCATGGTCACTTATTTTGCAGATAAAATCACCAAAAACACTGTAATAATACGAAATGTTCCGACTGTATGCTTGGATGTTACCGCGGAGGCTGGCTGGTAAACAATGCCACCGGCGGAAGATGTGAGGCTGGCTAAGGCCGCACATTAGACGCATCTCGGACGAACAGCGTTGAGCGGGTTTTTTAGCATTATGCGAGGCAAAATCTTAGCGATAAAATGTATCGGTATGCGGATTTAACGTTATGTAAGGCGAACGGTATGCGGGGGTCCACTGTACTATATTGAAAAGGCAAATGCTTCTCCACACTGAAAGAAGAGTTATTTTTAGGCTACAAGTAAATTTTTTTTTAACACATTGGTCGTCCCTCACCGAGGCAGGGTGACCCGAAAAAGAAACACTTTCACCATCATTCACATAATCACTTTCTTGTCAGAGGCATGCAGAAATGATAAATTAAATGTCACTATAAACAGCAAATATCCCCCCCCCCACCTTTGAAGTGCAGCCAATGTATTTCCCATCTCCAGGGCTCAAGTCTGGCTAACTGATTTCCCTGAATCCCTTTACAAAATATTACCCTGCTCACACTCCAACAGCCTATCGAGTCCCAAAAACCATTCGTCTCCACTTTCTCCTATCTAACATGCTCAGATATTTACTGTTTCGTGACATCTATACCTACATCTATATCTACATACCTCTGGCAAGACAGTGATAGTGTGAATGATGGTGAAAGTTTCTTTTTCAGGTCACCCTACCTCAGTGTGTTAAAAGAAAAATGTACAAATAACCCGCACATAAAAAGAAACTCATGATCACTAGTTAATGGTCCAATCGGACTGAAATATCATCATGAGCTTTTTCTCCTATGTAAGGAATATTTGTGTATTGTTCCAGTCACATTATTGTGACTTTCTATTCTTTTTTCATGAAACTCCTAGGCAGGATAATACCAATACCTGCAGAGTCCCAGGGATACATTGTCCATATATGTCCATGACAAAGAACCACAAGGTGCAAGGGACAGTCACCTTCATCCTCTGAAAATAAATGAGAAATATATAAATGCATTTCCTTTTATGGGTCACTCTGCCTTGGCAAGAGATGACTGGTGAAGTAAAAAAAACGTAAATTAATATCATTGGCACCAGACTCTAAAAGATTTTAACAAATTTATATAATATACTGGTAATATTTACTTTATATTTACTATGTACAGCTGGAATCTCAGTGTTTGAACGCATTGGACCTCGAACGAACTGGAGTCCGAACAATTTTACTCAGAAAAAACTGACTTTTGTCTCTGAATGCTTTTCTATAGTCCTAATACACCAGCTTGTTTACAATTCACACAAAAGCCCTGTTTCAAAAGTGCTTTGAAGTGACCTCTAACACTGACCTAACTCTGAGAGACTTTTGGAAGAGTCAGTTCAACATCCTCCAGTGTGTGAGGCTGATAACTAAAGCCTGGGAAATAATGTTTCCCACACTTAACTTTTCACAGTGCAAACACCACCTAGGAACTAATTAAGTTCACACACAGGGTTCCACTGTATATTGTAATGAGATAAAAATGCATTAAATTTCAATCAATCCAAGAGCCTCAAAAATACAGTGAAACCATTAATCTGACAAGAAATATACAACAATCTATATAAAAAAGAACAATAATTCAACTATTTACCGAACTTGATTTAATAAACAAAATCTTGGAACATTCACAAAAAAATCTGTACAGTATATTTAGCAGGTAGTTAATAATTGTCTTATGTTCAATTTCATTTGCTGTCTTCTCACTTATTTTTAAAGGTAAAACTAAAGAAAACTATACAATTGCACAAACAGTCATGCAACACAGACACAGTTGCATAGTAGCACTGTAATTACTATAATTTTATGGCAAAACTCACTATTACATTAGTGTGTATAGGAAGATTTCTCTTGTTGCTTTTCTTAGTCATGTAATGACATGCTCAGCAGAGCTTTTGTTTGTCTGTGATCTTTCACTATCTTTTCTTCACCTGACTATGATCTTCTATTAGCTTTTGTTCATCTGACTGTGAGCTTCCATTAGCAATAAAGTAATCAAACAACTGATACCACTATTATTTTAATTAAAATTTAAATGTCAGTCTATCAGTTGTTAAGCACCACAATATCCTTAAAAGATACCTCCACAAGTAATACAACTACTACAGGCATTAATGAGAACTCTCCGCCCATCCCACCACTGACTATAAACATGCAGTGCGGTAATACCACAAAAAATTTTAAGGTTCCAGAAAAGGCCTAGCCACTGTCTAGATCTTAGTAGTTATTATGTACTAGGATTAGTCTGCTGAAATGTCCTGGCATGACAGTGGCTTTCTTTACTTAGCAAACCAAAACTGTAATTACACATTGTAATCTTCACAAAGAAATAAAATCTTTATCTTATCTTTACATGTCTGATTCAGCTGGGCTCAACTGTGCCAGGGTGAATGGAAGACATCGGTCAGATGACCAAAAGCTCCAGCTGCAGATCATATGACTAAGGCCCACATCAGGAAACACTTTTCCTGGCAAACCTTACCTAACTTAACTGCCAGGGGTGGCTCCAGAAAATTTATATAAGAGGGGCTTAGTGGTGGCAATCTGGTTAAAACAGGAGAGGAACTGGGGGACTTGTCTTGAACCAATGTTGTTGTTATTTTTATTTCTTTAGTTTTGGGAGACTTCAGGTTGCCTTGTATCCCCTTGGCACTGCCCCTGTAGACAGCATCTGGATTTATGGCAGATGCTTCTGCAGTGTATTCTTGGAATGCAATCTTCACACATACCAAGGGTTTCCTCTATTCTGTATTCTGTTACTAAACTGACTAACAAACCACACACACACACACACACACACAAGCATGCATGCATACACACACACACACACACACACGCATGCACACACACACGCATGCACACACACACGCATGCACACACACGCATGCACACACACACGAATGCACACACACACGCATACACAGGGAGTGTTCATAACCCAATCGGGAGTGTTCATAACCCTAGCACTAATAAGTTAAATAATGTAGAACTTAGCCATACAGATTGTGAAAAGGACTTGGGGGTTATGATAAGCAGTAACCTTAAACCAAGACAGCAATGCCTAAGCATACGTAATAAGGCAAACAGATTACTGGGATATATATCAAGAAGTGTAAGCAACGCAAGTTCGGAGGTTATATTATAGCTTTATACATCATTAGTAAGGCCTCACCTAGATTATGCAGCTCAGTTCTGGTCTCCATATTATAGAACAGATATAAATTCATTAGAAAACATTCAGTGTAGAATGACTAAATTAATACATAGCATTAGAAATCTTCCTTATGAAGAAAGATTGAAGACCCTTAAATTACATTCACTTGTTAGACGAAGAATGAGGGAAGACATGATCAAAGTGTATAAGTGGAAGATGGGTATCAATAAAGAGGATATAAATAAGGTCTTAAGAATACAGTGGACCCTTGCCTAATGCTATTAATCCGTTCCTGAGAGCTCAACTTTAGCCGAAATTATCGTTAGGCGGATTAATTTTCCCCATAAGAAATAATGGGAATCAAATTAATCCGTTCCTGACACCCCAAAGTATGAACAAAAAAAAAATTTTAACCACATGAAATATTAATTTTAATACACACAAACTGAAGAAGACATGCACAGTTACATGACACTTACCTTTATTGAAGATCTGGTGATGATTGATGGGATGGGAGGAGGGGAGACTATGGATGGTGTTAATGTTTAGAAGGGGAATCCCCTTCCATTAGGACTTGAGGTGTCAAGTCCTTTTCTGGGGTTACTTCCCTTCTTTTAATGCCACTAGGACCAGCTTCAGAGTCACTGGACCTCTGTCACACAACATATCTGTCCATAGAGGCCTGCACCTCCCATTCCTTTATGACATTCCTAAAGTGTTTCACAACATTGTCAGTGTAATAGTCACCAGCACGGCTTGCAATAGCTGTGTTAGGGTGATTGTCATCAAAAAAGGTTTGCACTTTATGCCACATTCCACACATTTCCTTAATCTTTGAAGTAAGCAACTTCTTCAATTTCTCTAACCCCTCCTCCAAAGCAGTTTCCTCAGGTGTGCCCTCTTGCTGTTGAAGATGATCTAGCAGCTCATCAGTGGTTAGTTCTTCATTGTCCTCCTCCACCAACTCTTCCACATCCTCCCCACTAACCTCCAACCCCAAGGACTTTCCCAATGCCACAATGGATTCCTCAACTAGCATAGGATTCCCAGGGTTAGCCTCAAACCCTTCAAAATACCTTTAGTCTACACATTCTGGCCACAGTTTCTTCCAAGCAGAGTTCAAGGTCCTCTTAGTCACTCCCTCCCAAGCCTTACCTATAAGGTTTACACAATTGAGGATATTAAAGTGATCTCTCCAAAACTCTAAGAGAGTCAGTTGAGTTTCTGAGGTCACTACAAAGCACCTTTCAAACATAGCTTTTGTGTACAGTTTCTTGAAGTTTGCAATAACCTGCTGGTCCATGGGCTGCAGGAGAGGAGTGGTATTAGGAGGCAAAAACTTCACCTTAATGAAGCTCATGTCCACAGAAAGTCTCTCTGCCAAGTCTGAAGGATGACCAGGAGCATTGTCTAACACCAGGAGGCACTTAAGGTCAAATTTATTTTCCAGGAAGTAATTTTTCACAGTGGGGGCAAATGCATGGTGTAACCAGTCATAGAAAAAGTCCCTAGTGACCCATGCCTTACTGTTTGCCCTCCACAGCACACACAAATTAGCCTTGAGGACATTGTTTTTTCCTGAACACACTGGGAGTTTCAGAGTGATACACCAATAAAGGCTTCACTTTGCAATCACCAATAGCATTGGCAAACATCAACAGAGTAAGCCTGTCTTTCATAGGCTTATGTCCTGGGAGTGCCTTTTCCTCCTCAGTAATGTAGGTCCTGCTTGGCATTTTCTTCCAAAACAGGCCTGTTTCGTCACAATTAAACACTTGTTCAGGTTTAAGTCCTTCACTGTCTATGTACTCCTTGAATTCCTGTACATATTTTTCAGCCGCTTTGTGGTCCGAACTGGCAGCCTCACCATGCCTTATCACACTATGTATGCCAATACGATTCTTAAATTTCTCAAACCAACCTTTGCTGGCCTTAAATTCACTCACATCATCACTAGTTGCAGGCATTTTTCTAATTAAATCGTCATGCAACTTCCTAGCCTTTTCACATATGATCGCTTGAGAGATGCTATCTCCTGGTATCTGTTTTTCGTTTATCCACACCAATAACAGTCTCTCAACATCTTCTATCACTTGCGATCTCTGTTTCGAAAACAAAGTTGCACCTTTGGCAAGAACAGCTTCCTTGATTGTCGTTTTCTTGGCCACAATAGTAGCGATGGTTGATTGGGGTTTTGTGTACAACCTGGCCAGCTCGGAGACACGCACTCCACTTTCATACTTAGCAATGATCTCTTTCTTCATATCCATAGTAATTCTCACTCTTTTTGCTGAAAGGGTTGGGCACAGAAGCTTTCTTGGGGCCCATGGTGACTTATTTTGCAGGTGCAATCACTAAAAAGGCTGTGATAATATGAAATGTTTCGATTGTATGCTTGGAAGCGACCGCGGTGGCTGGCTTGTAAACACTGGCACCCATGGAACAAGCGAGGTGGGCTCAGGCCGCATGTGGATGCGTCTCGGACGAATCGCGTTCAGCGAGTTTTTTAGCACTAGCCGAGGCAAAATTTTTGCGTTAAAATGTATCGCTAGGCGGATTTAATGTTATGCGATGCGTTCGTTAGGCGAGGGTCCACTGTATCTCTCCAAGAGAGAACCCGCAGTAATGGATTCAAATTAGAGAAGTTTAAATTTAGAAAGGATACAGGAAAGTATTGGTTTGGAGATAGGGTAGTTGATGAGTGGAACAGTCTGCCAAGTAGGGTCACCAAGGCTAAAACCTTGGGTAGTTTCAAATTTAGGTTGGATAAATACGTGAGTGAAAGGGGTTGGATTTGAGAGGGACTTGCACATGGGTAAATAGAATTATCAAAGCTTATTTATTGGGTAGCATTGACAGCTGGTTTGGGCAAATATTTCATTAGCGGGATGGATTGTGAAGAACCTGCCTAGTATGGGCCAACAGGCCTGCTGCAGTGTTCCTCCTTTCTTATGTTCTTATATATACACACACACATACACATGCATGCACACACACAAGTACTCATGCACACACACACATTTTTACACAACTTACTTGTTTTCCAGGTTGTGTACAGGCTATCAGCACCCTGACCTGGGATCCTTGTACAATTAAACACCCATCTAAACTGCTTCATACTTAAGGGCTTACCCTAGAAAGGTAAAAAAAAAAATATATATATCAATTTACAGTCTATTTATAGTAATTTGACATCTAGAAGTCCACAGTTCCTAATCTGCAGAAAATGCAATCATAAGGTGTATCATTCAAATATGAGGAAAAGGCAATGGTCAATTGTCGAATAGTTGCTGGTGTACACGTTTCCCAACTCTACCGCAGGTGTCCCTTGCCCATGTTGCTGATCATAGCAGCTTTCTTTACACCTTCAGAACTACAAGCATTGTTTTTGATAAAAGTGGTGGAATTACTGACAGAATGTTAGGTATAAGGATACAGCTGCAACTAATGTGACATTTTATTGTGGCTATGTTTTGCTCTCCAGCTTTGTCAAGCTTAAAAAGCAAAATGTTGCCACAATAAAATGTTACATTAGCTGCATCTGTGTCCTTTTACCTAATTTTGGACTCGCTATGCAGAGATATTGTCTCAGGATAGCATTTCAACACCTCCATGGGGAAATGGAAAAGAATTCTTTCTCCTTAAGCCGTGTGTGTCGTAAGAGGAGACTAAAATGCCGGAAGCAAGGGGCTAGTAACTCCTTCTCCTGTATACATTACTGAATTTAAAAAGAAAAACTTTCGTTTTTCTTTTAGGTCACCCTGCCTCTCTGGGAGACAGTCGGTTTGTTGAAAAAAAAAATCAACACATGTTGAATTCCTGTCCTGATTTTTTCATTCATACTGCTGTGTACGGGGAGTTGGAGGGATGGGGGAACACTTACAAACAAGAATACAGATAAAATTATACAACTGAAAGAAATCTTTGCTATATGACTAACTTTCACAATAACCTAAAAAAAAAAAAAAAAGAAAATGAAACTATATAAAAGACATACAACACTTCTCTCATGAAATAAGCAGTTTAGATATCCAGTACAAGTCTTATACTATATATAATGTCCCTTCACTAGTCAGTATGAACCATATTATATATTGGATTATCTTAAAAGTTTTTTTTTTAACGCACTGGCTGTATCCCACCAAGGCAAGGTGGCCTGAAAAGAAAAACAAAAGTTTTTCTTTTGAAATTTTAGTGATTTATAAAGAAGGAGTTGCCAGCCCCTTCTTAAAAGTTTTAGTTTCATAAAGTAATTATATGAAATAAATCTACAGAATTCTAGGTACATGTAGTAGGTCGGTAGACAGCAACCGCCCAGGGAGGTACTACCGCCCTGCCAAGTGAGTGTAAAACGGAAGCCTGTAATTGTTTTACATGATTGTAGGATTGCTGGGGTCCTTTTTTCTGTCTCGTACACATGCAAGATTTCAGGTACATCTTGCTACTTCTACTTACACTTAGGTCATACTACACATACATGTACACACACCCCTCTGGGTTTTCTGCTATTTTCTTTCTAGTTCTTGTTCTTGTTTATTTCCTCTTATCTCCATGGGGAAGTGGAACAGAATTCTTCCTCCATAAGCCATGCGTGTTGTAAGAGGCAACTAAAATGCCAGGAGCAAGGGGCTAGTAACCTCTTCTCCTGTATATATTACTAAATGTAAAAGGAGAAACTTTCGTTTCTCCTTTTGGGCCACCCCGCCTCGGTGGGATATGGCCAGTGTGTTGAAAGAAAGAAAGAAATGTATGAAAGAGGGAAAGGTACCTAGGGATTGGTGGAGAGCATGTATAGTCCCTTTATACAAAAGGAAGGGTGGCAAAAGAGATTGTAAAAATTATAGAGGAATAAGTTTACTGAGTATACCAGGAAAAGTGTATGGTAGGGTTATTATTGAAAGAATTAGAGGTAAGACAGAATGTAGGATTGCTGATGAGCAAGGAGGTTTTAGAGTGGGTGGGGGATGTGTAGATCACGTGTTTACATTGAAGCATATATATTTTTATTTTTATTATCACACTGGCCGATTCCCACCAAGGCAGGGTGCCCCGAAAAAGAAAAACTTTCACAATCATTCACTCCATCACTGTCTTGCCAGAAGGGTGCTTTACACTACAGTTTTTAAACTGCAACATTAACACCCCTCCTTCAGAGTGCAGGCACTGTACTTCCCATCTCCAGGACTCAAGTCCTGTATTTAGATAAAGGTAGGGAAGTTTTTATTGCATTTATGGATTTAGAAAAGGCATATGATAGAGTGGATAGGGGAGCAATGTGGCAGATGTTGCAAGTATATGGAATAGGAGGCAAGTTACTAAATGCTGTAAAGAGTTTTTATGAGAACAGTGAGGCTCAGGTTAGGGTGTGTAGAAGAGAGGGAGACTACTTCCCAGTAAAAGTAGGTCTTAGACAGGGATGTGTAATGTCACCATGGTTGTTTAATATATTTATAGATGGGGTTGTAAAAGAAGTAAATGCTAGGGTGTTTGGGAGAGGGGTGGGATTAAATTATGGGGAATCAAATACAAAATGGGAAGTGACAGTTACTTTTTGCTGATGGTACTGTGCTTATGGGAGATTCTAAAGAAAAATTGCAGAGGTTAGTGGACGAATTTAGGAGTGTGTGTAAAGGTAGAAAGTTGAAAGTGAACATAGAAAAGAGTAAGGTGATGAGGGTATCAAATGATTTAGATAAAGAAAAATTGGACATCAAATTGGGGAGGAGGAGTATGGAAGAAGTGAATGTTTTCAGATATTTGGGAGTTGACATATCAGTGGACGGATTTATGAAGGATGAGGTGAATCATAGAATTGATGAGGGGAAAAAGGTGAGTAGTGCGTTGAGGTATATGTGGAGACAAAGAACGTTATCTATGGAGGCAAAGAAGGGAATGTATGAAAGTATAGTGGTACCAACACTCTTATATGGGTGTGAAGCTTGGGTTGTAAATGCTGCAGCAAGGAGGCAGTTGGAGGCAGTGGAGATGTCCTGTCTAAGGGCAATGTGTGGTGTAAATACTGCGCAGAAAATTCGGAGTGTGGAAATTAGGAAAAGGTGTGGAGTTAATAAAAGTATTAGTTAGAGGGCAGAAGAGGGGTTGTTGAGGTGGTTTGGTCATTTAGAGAGAATGGATCAAAGTAGAATGACATGGAAAGCATATAAATCTGTACGAGAAGGAAGGTGGGGTAGGGGTCGTCCTCAAAAGGGTTGGAGGGAGGGGGTAAAAGAGGTTTTGTGGGCGAGGGGCTTGGACTTCCAGCAAGCATGAGTGAGCGTGTTAGATAGAAGTGAATGGAGACGAATGGTATTTGGGGCCTGACGAGCTGCTGGAGTGTGAGCAGGGTAATATTTAGTGAAGGGATTCAGGGAAATCGGTTATTTTATATAGTCGAACTTGAGTCCTGGAAATGGGAAGTACAATGCCCGCACTTTAAAGGAGGGGTTTGGGATATTGGCAGTTTGGAGGGATATGTTGTGTATTTTTATACGTATATGCTTCTATTATTATTATAATCAAAAAGAAGCGCTAAGCCACAAGGACTATACAGCAATATATGCTTCTAAACTGTTGTATTCTCAGCACCTCTGCAAAAACAGTGATTATTTGTGAGTGAGGTGAAAGTGTTGAATGATGATGAAAGTATTTTCTTTTTGGGGATTTTCTTTCTTTTTGGGTCACCCTGCCTCGGTGGGAGACGGCCGACTTGTTAAAAAAAAAAAAAAAAACTTTTAAAATTGTACCATTTGATCATTAGCTACTTTTCTTACTGTACATATAATTGCAGTTAACTACCTAAAAAAATCCTACTTAATAATCTATGTCTAATTCTTAAGTAGTCTTTAAGCATTAGGATTAGCTTGCCCAAAATGCATTGTATACTATTATCTTTGTTTTGTGCCTCCCAATGTTTTATTATATGTAAACCACATTATTCTTGTATCGCACAAAAAAAAAAAAATTGAATTTAAATATGAACTCACACTTCTCCCAGGAAGTCCACTGCCGTCCAAGAATCAACAGGGAGTTACCATACTGCCCGGACCTTTGGGTTCAAATATATGAACCAATCAGACAGAAGCATACCTTCACCACCCAGCATATGATCTATCATACTACCCCAGACTTGGTAGCTCCTACCCAGAATAGAGACTGAAGGCCCATACAGGAGGGCCCCACTTTACAGCGCTTCGCTTTACGGCGTTTTGTTAATACAGAGGTTTCCAGTTATACCCATTCTTCATTTATTCAGACTTCTTACAACAAATATATTCACCAGTCACCATAAGCTAAGGATGAAAATATTTTAAGGTAAGTAATGTGTGTACTGCATATGCATTTTTAAGGCTTAGCTATATTGCTCACTTATTATGATAGCATGAACATGTTATTAGACTTTTATGCGCATTTGAAAATGGAAATCGGCTATGTTTCACTTTACAGTGATTTTCACTTTACAGCAGCAGCCCTGAACCTAACCTGCTGTATAAGCAGGGCCTGCCTGTATAGAGCTATTCTATTTACTGTAAGTATTACCCAAGAAATAAAGTACCATGGCTTATAATAATCAAAACTCCTTTTACTAGAAGAACACACACAGGACTTACCTCATTTGTTTTTTGTGGTTTTAAACGCTGCTCCTGCACAGCTAGGTTGAAGTCTAAGAATCCCCACAAATACAAGGCTCCATACTGAGAAATGAATAATAATCATTACTAAATCACATTAATTTACTTACACAACTTTCTAAGTTCTGTTGTATAAGAACATTAAACACTGTAGTATTTAACCCTTTGAGGGCCCGTGCTGTAGATCTACGGCTTTACGTTGAGGGTCCAAACCGTAGATCTAAGTTATGAGCTCAGCTCACTCTGATAAGCTGTGAGCGGTAAATTTTGGCCTCAATATGAGAGAATACATCTATGTGGTATGTGTGCACCATATAAAACAAATCCTGCAGCACATATTGCATAATGAGAGAAAAAACTGAGACCGTAATTTTCGTGTAAAGCAACGACTTTGCAGTGTTTTTTTCGTGTTTTTTTATAGTTGTATTTGCGATTTCTTGGTCTCATATGATAGAATGGAAGACATATTACAGAAATAGAGATGATTTTGATTGGTTTTAGTATTGGAAATGGCTTGAAACTGAGCTCAAATTAGTGGAAATGTTAAATTTTTGCCGATGCTCAAGAGTAAACAAATGACCTCACACGTCTAATACACACCTGCTGGTAGGTCTAATATACGTTCACAAATGTGGTGATATTATTTATATAATTATTACAATATTGCATAACAGTAAATCTTCTATTTTTTGGTTTCAATAAAAATTCATTATGTGAATAAAAAATCAAAATGAAATTCATTAATAAAGCCTGAAAGTGTAACTAATGAACAGAAGAAATGTTAGTTTAGTGCCAGGAATGCCTGTTTTGTTTATTCTGGACCCTATTTTGAAATTGGAGTATTTTGAACTTTGCATTAAATTGGCCAAATTACCAATTTCCGATCACTTTATTTTGTAGTTGAAACAGTTGACTTGACGAATTCTTTTTCTCAATCGATAGAATAAAGTAATACTAGCAAAATAGCTAAGAATTTGGTCGACTGGAATAATGTAATTGGCCTAAAATGGGAGTCAAAGTTGGCAAAATTGCCAATGTGTAAATATCGCTGACACATCAAAATTCGCGAGAGCATAATTCCGTCAATTTTCCATCAAATTTTGTACTTTTTGTTTTATTACCTTCAGAGAATGATTCTCGACCATTTCATAAGAAAAAATAACTAAATTATTTTTTGAAAATTCTTGGACACTGGTGCACACTTAGAAATTTGGCCTCTGGACCCTGAAAGGATTAAGATATTAAGGAAGGTTAAAAAAAAAAAAAAGCTTGAGGTCTGGCCAGGGAGCCTTCTTATAATTTTTTGTGTTTCAACACATCGGCCACTTCCTACTGAGGCAGGGTGACCTAAAAAGAAAAACGAAAGTTTTTCTTTTTAAATTTAGTAATTTGTACAGGAGGAGGAGTTACTAGCCCCTTGCTCTCAGTATTTTAGTCACCTCTTATGACATGCATGGCTTACGGAGGAGGAATTCTATTGCTAGGAAATGTGTGTATACTACACAAGCAATACTGTTGACAAAGACACTTTCACGTGCATGGTGACTAACCATGGAACAGGTGGGGTTTGAACTCGAGTTTCTTATGCACTTTTCTGAATTTCAGGACTCACTTGCCATGGGTTCAAACCTCATCCCTTCCGTGGTTTGTTGCAATCGTGTTATTACGATTTCATGAGACACAGTGACTACAAAGTTGTGGCTGCAATGAAGTGATTGCTTAGCCTATATTTTTATGCATAAGCCAGTAAAGCATTATCATTTATCAAGTAATGTTGCAAGAAGGGAAAAATAGGATTTGATACAACTCCTAAAAATCTAAAAATCTTGGGTTTCAACATAATGGTTCATTAATCAATTCTGTCTCTTCAGTAAGGATAAACGTACAAAATTTGGGCCTCAATATTATGCTTTAATGATACAGTACTGACATAGTTTTTTATAAAGAATAAAAATGCACCCTGCCTTGGTGGGAACATCTGTGTTAAAAAAAAAAAAAGGTACAATACCATGACTGGAACAACACACAAATAACATGTATATAGGAGAAAGAAACTTATGATGACATTTTGATTCGACATGAACCATTAACTAGGTACTTGTTAATGGTCCAAGTCGGACCGAAATGTCATCATGAGTTTCCTTCTCCTACATATGGGTTAGCTGCAAATAGTCTTTTATAAGTGTGACAAGACACTGGTTATCAAAGGGTAAATGTCCTATTTCTCATATTTTGTCTTTAAAAAATCTGAACACATGCAAATACTGTATTACGAAATAAAAATAATGCACAAATAAGAGAGACCATAAAAATGATACTCGTATCTAGAGATTTAGAAAACTTGATACAATCTCTCCCCCAACAGTGTTAGATAATTGATGGTCTGCTAAGTTAATATTTTAGACCTGCCTAATGAGAGTGAAATGGAAACCTATAATTGTTTTACACAAAAGCAGGACTGTCTCATAAACATGCAAGATAACAGGTACATCTTGCTACATATACATGTACTTACATTTAGGTCACATTACACATTCATGAACACATATATGTGTGCACACCCATCTGAGTTTTCTCCTATTTTCTTAATAGTTCTTGTTCTTATTTATTTCCTTTCATATACATGGGAAAGTGGAAAAGTTTCCACCGTAAGCCGTGTGTGTCGTATAAGGCTACTAAAATGCCAAGAATAAGGGGCTAGTAACCCCTTTTCCCAAATAAATTACTTTAGTAAATGTAAAAAGAGGAAAAACTTTACAATTTTCTTTTTTTGTGGTCACCCTGCCTCTGTGGGAGAAAACCAGAATGTTGAAAATTAATCAATGTGCCGAGTTCCTATCTCAATCCAGAAAGAAATGCTGTGCAGAAAAAAGGCAACGCTCCATGAACCCTTCTGACAGGTACAGTACACACAGAATGTAATGACTAATGAGACAAAATAATACCTTCTTTATCATGTAAACCCTCTGCCATTTTGCAAAAGCAGATAAATGAAATAACTTGACATGGCACCTTGAAAATGCCATGCAATCTATTCTTAATGAAGTTTTACAAGCAAAGTGCACATATCAATGTTACAGTAAGACCTAAGTCTTTCATTACGATAAGGACCAAGAGTGTTAAGAGATAACAAAATTTTTCTGATACTGGGAGTCACTCAAAAGAGATGCACAATGGCACATCTGATCAGCCATTACTGCATAATTGCAGCATAATATACGTTTACAAAAATAACTAATTAGTGGGTTGTAAACACAAATCAGATTAAGTGGTGAGTGAGAGAGGACTACTGCAATGCCAGAAATTTGGAACAACTAAAGAAAAACAATAAATTAATCCATTAATTTCTCCTTTACTTACCATAGGTGCATTTAGCAATAGAATCTATAATAAAAGTAGTCCTATCAAGCATTAAAAAACTGAAACTCAAATAAAAATAACATTACTACCAGTCACAGTATATACAGCCTCTCCTCACTTAATGACAGAGTTCCAGTCCTAATGCCACGTTGTTAAACGAGCACACTATAATGGTAGTGGGTTTGTGTCAACCATCTTTGATACTGTTTTAATGTTACCTCTGCACAATTTATAACATTTCTGGTGTAATTTTAAATGTTTATACACTGAAATAAACAGAATAGAGGAAATCAGTTCTAATATACATTACAGTGGACCCCCGAGTTTCGTGATTAATCCGTTCCAGAGAGTCTGCCAAATGATGAAATTGCCGAATGGCGAAAGCATTTTCCCCATAAGAAATAATGGAAATAAAATTTATCTGTTCCAGACACCCAAAAATATTAAAATAAAACTTGAGAAATCAAGTACATACATATATAAAATAATAACATTACACTTACCTTTACTTAAGACTTCTGGGTGGATGGAAGACAGGAGGGGAGAGGATGAAGGTGTACACTATTGTTTGGAATGGGAATCCCCTTCCGTAAGGACTTCAGGTACCACATCTTTATCTGGGGTTACTTCCCTTCTTTGTTTTTTAATGCCACTGGGAACAACTTGAGAGTCACTAGACCCCTGTCACATAAAATATGTGTCCAGAGAGCTGTTTCTGGCATTTCTTTAAAACTACCCTAAAATGGGACACAACATTGTCATTATACATGTTGCCAACACAGCCTGCAACAGCTTTGTCAGGGTGAAGTTCATCCATAAATAATTGCATTTCAGTCCACTTTGCACAAATGTCCTTAATGTTTGAAGAAGGCACCTTCCTTCATCTCACTTCCTCCTCCTCTACAGCAACTTCCTGAGCTGTGGTCTTTTGCTGTTGCAGATGAAGCTCTTGCAGCTCTGCAGTGGTTAGCTCTTCATCGTGGTCCTCCACCAACTCTTCCACATCCTCCAAACTCACATCCAACCCCATGGAATTCCCCAGTGACACAATACTTTCCACAACTGGCATAGACTCCTTAGGGTCAACCCCAAACCCTTCAAAATCCCTCTCTTGTACACATTCTGGCCACAATTTTCTCCAAGCAGAGTTCAAAGTTCTGCAAGTCACTCCCTCCCAAGCCTTACCTATAAGGTTTATGCAAGTGAGGATATTGAAGTGATCTTTCCAGAAATCTCTCAGGGTCAATTCAGTGTCACTTCAAAGCACTTTTGAAACACTGCTTTGGTGTAGTTTGAAATTGCCTGCTGGTCCATGGGCTGGAGGAGAGGAGTTGTATTAGGGGGCAAGAACTTCACTGTGATGAAACTAAACTCCTTCACCATTTGCTCTTCCAAGTCTGGAGGATGAGCAGGAGCATTGTCCATTACCAGAAGGCACTTGAGTGGCAATTTATTTTCCAGGAGGTATTTCTTCACACTGGGGACAAACACTTCATTAAACCAATCAAGGAAAATTTCCCCTGTGACCCATGCCTTACTGTTAGCATTCCACATCACACACAAATTAATCTTGGCGACACTGTTTTTCTTGAACACTCTGGGATTTTCAGAGTAAATACACCAGTAAAGGCTTCACTTTGCAATCCCCAAAAGCATTACTACAAAACATGAGAGTTAGCCTGTCTTTCATAGGCTTGTGTCCTGGGAGTGCCTTTTCCTCCTGCGTGATGTAGGTCCTCTTTGGTATTTTCTTCCAAAAGAGGCCTGTCTCATCACAACTGAACACTTGTTGGGGTTGGAATTCTTCAGTGTCTACGTACCCCTTAAACTCCTGTACAAACTTCTCAGCCGCTTTTTTGTCAGACCTGGCAGCCTCACCATGCCTTACCACACTGTGTATGCCACTAAGCTTCTTAAATCTCTTAAACCAGCCTTTGCTGGCCTTAGAATCACAAACATCACCACTCGTTGCAGGTATTTTCTTAACGAGATCGTCATGCAGCTGCCTTGCCTTTGCACACATTACTGACTGCATAATACTATCTCCTGCTAACTGTTTTTGGGTAATCCACACCAACAATAACCTCTCTACTTCTTCGAGGGTTTGCGATGTCTTTTTTGTCAGCATATCTACCCCTTTTGCAACAACAGCACACTTTATTTCCTTTCCCTTTACCACCATCGAAGTGATGATTGAATGGGGTTTGCCATGCACCCTGGCATGTTCTGTAACACGCACTCCACTCTCATAGTTTTCAATGATTTCCTTCTTGAATTCCATCGTGTTCCTCACTTTCTTTACCAAAGGCCTGGCACTAGGAGCTTTCTTTGGGCCCAAGGTGGCTTATTTAGCAGTTGCAAGCACAAAAAACAATGTATTATTATGAAATGTATCGTATGAACCCGTGGGGTGATGCACTCACTGGTAAACAATGGCACACTGAATGTGAATGGTGTGGGAGGCAGGGCTTGTGTGTGCGTTGACGGCGGACGCGTACCGGACGGTCGCCGAATCATGAGGCCAATCACGAACCGCGAAGCTAAATTTTGGTGAAAAAACATGCCGAAAGTCGGATTTCACGAAAGTCACGGCCGCCGAATGGCGGGGGTTCACTGTATTTAGGTATAAATACTGGTCAGAGAGCCCGTTGTACGTCCGAGGCATCAGTAAATGAGTAAGTCGCTAAGCAAGGGGAGGCTGTACTGGACTGTACATGTACTATATATGCAATTTAGTTAATATTGTAAAAGATGATAATTGTCAGAATACTCCATGGAAAAGTGGAGAAGAATCCTTCCTCTGTAAGCCATGAGTGTTGTAAGAGGTGACTAAAATGCCGGGAGTAAGGGGGCTAGTAACCCTTTCCCCTGTATAAATTACCAAATGTGAAAAGAAGAAAAACTTTTGTTTCTTCTTTTTTGGGTCACCTGCCTCGGTGACTGTTATATAAACTTGCTACCGCAACAATGAGCTGGTTGATCTGTACCAAACATGATACAGTATACAAGGGCCAAACATATTCAGCACCCTCTTTTCGGTGTTCAATATTTTTGGTGGTTTTCAACTAAGTCATTGTTCTTTTTGTTCTGTGCTTTTTCCACTGTTTTGCCATTTTTGCACAACAGCTGCACAAGGGAAGGAAGACTGGCACTATATTTTAAGGTATGTATTGTATGTCCTGTGTATTTATTTTACTTTTGTATCTGTTTTTTATGGCTAGCTGTATTGAACACTTAATATATGATAGTGTAAACATGTTATTAGGTGCTTAAGATGCATTCAGTATTGAAAAAAAAAAACACTTTTCCACCCACCGGCGTTTTTTGCTTATCGCTGGAGGGTCAGGAACATAACAACCATAGAAATGGGGACCTCCTGTATATACAATTTGGTCAACATTTTAGAATACGGTGACTAGTACCTTCATTAAAAATAAAATTAATTTGCAAGCAAACCAAATGCGACAGCACTCACAGTGAGAGCTTTCTCAAACGAAGGTTTCCACAAGGAAAGGTTAAGCGGGTGAGGTCCAGCAGTGTTCATGGTAGGCAGAAGAGGTTCTCGCACTGTCAGGTATGCATAATGAAGCCACCAATCTTCAAGCTGTAACACAAGAAAAAAAGTCCAGTGATCAGACCCACAATTAATGCTGAGCTTCTAAACTCAAGAGAGAAGTCTTTTGGTCGAGGAATAGAAATATTCTTTGGAAGACTTGCTGAATACTTCTGCTCATGCATTATACAGTCTTCGTATACAGCATTTTGTTTTGATTTCTTAAATAAAAAATAAATATTTTGTGATAAAGCCTGACATTTCCTAGACTTTTTACATCTGAGCAAACATTTCAACATGTAGGGAAGGTAAAAATAATAAGTATACCTGTCTAAAGACTATTACAATTTGATAACTATACTATACATACAGTGGATATTGCCTTAACCCTTTGACTGTTTCGGTCATATATATACATCTTATGAGCCAATGTGCTTGACATACTGTATATATACTCAAAAATTCTAGCGGCTTCAAATCAAGCAGGAGAAAGCTGGTAGGCCTACATGTGAGAGAATGGGTCTGTGTGCGCAGTATAAAAAAAAAAATCCTGCAGCACAGAGTGCATAATGAGAAAAAAAAACTCCGACCGTGTTTTTTGGATTAAAATGCCGACTTTCAGGTGTATTTTCTTATAGTATTTATGGCTGTATTCTTGTTTTCTTGGTCTCATTTGACAGAATGGAAAACATATAGAAATAAATGCAATCTTTATTGGTTTTACTATGAAAAGGATCTTGAAGTGGAGCTCAAAGTGGCATAAATGTTCGATTTTTGCCAATATTCAATAGTTAACAAATGACGTCATTGTCCAATAAATGTCCAATTAGCCATTCTAATACGCAGTCACGAATGGGTTGACATTATTTATACAATTACTACAATATTGCTGTAGTCGGAAATTAAAGAATCACGGTTACTAGGGAACCAAGGGAGAAAAAGTGTTATTCTCAGATTGCACACACAAGACAGAAAAAAAGATCTAATAAGTTCATCTATTAAAAGTAAAAAAAGATATATACAAAAATGAGTCTCATAAGAAAATGAGAGAACCTCCTGTACAGAGTGAGAAAACTGAAACGTGAGAATAATGATAAAATTCACCAGTGCTTTGCACATGATGGACAAATTCTAATAAGAAAAACAAATGTAGGCCGTGTGTACTATATTACAAATGAAAATGAACTAGTGAACTTCCTTCATGATGCAACCATTACAGAGTCTGACTGATATTAGTAACCAAATCATTGTAGTGTATGTTATTATGCCATTATTGAACTAATCCCTGTACTATCACCTCCTGGATAGTATTTACTATCTCATTATCCCATGTGTCCCACACAGTTCCTTGTGTGACCCAATTTGTGTTATCTTCCCAGATTTCCCTTTCACAATATATTTATAGATGGGGTTGTAAGAGAAGTAAATGTGAGGGTCTTGGCAAGAGGCGTGGAGTTAAAAGATAAAGAATTACACATAAAGTGGGAGTTGTCACAGTTGCTCTTTGCTGATGACACTGTGCTCTTGGGAGATTCTGAAGAGAAGTTGCAGAGGTTGGTGGATGAATTTGGTAGGGTATGCAAAAGAAGAAAAATTAAAAGTGAATACAGAAAAGAGTAAGGTTATGAGGATAACAAAAAGATTAGGTGATGAAAGATTGGATATCAGATTGGAGGGAGAGAGTATGGAGAAGGTGAATGTATTCGATATTTGGGAGTGGACGTGTCAGCGGATGGGTCTATGAAAGATGAGGTGAATCATAGAACTGATGAGGGGAAAAGGGTGAGCGGTGCACTTAGGAGTCTGTGGAGACAAAGAACTTTGTCCTTGGAGGCAAAGAGGGGAATGTATGAGAGTATAGTTTTACCAACGCTCTTATATGGGTGTGAAGCATGGGTGATGAATGTTGCAGCGAGGAGAAGGCTGGAGGCAGTGGAGATGTCATGTCTGAGGGCAATGTGTGGTGTGAATATAATGCAGAGAATTCATAGTTTGGAAGTTAGGAGGAGGTGCAGGATTACCAAAACTGTTGTCCAGAGGGCTGAGGAAGTGTTGTTGAGGTGGTTCAGACATGTAGAGAGAATGGAGCGAAACAGAATAACTTCAAGAGTGTATCAGTCTGTAGTGGAAAGATGGCAGGGTAGGGGTCGGCCTAGGAAAGGTTGGAGGGAGGGGGTAAAGTAGGTTTTGTGTGCGAGGGGATTGGACTTCAAGCAGGCATGCATGAGCGTGTTTGATAGGAGTGAATGGAGACAAATGGTTTTTAATACTTGACGTGCTGTTGGAGTGTGAGCAAAGTAGCATTTATGAAGGGATTCAGGGAAACCGGCAGGCCGGACTTGAGTCCTGGAGATGGGAAGTACAGTGCCTGCACTCTGAAGGAGGGGTGTTAATGTTGCAGTTTAAAAACTGTAGTGTAAAGCACTCTTCTGGCAAGACAGTGATGGAGTGAATGATGGTGAAAGTTTTTCTTTTTTCGGGCCACCCTGCCTTGGTGGGAATCGGCCAGTGTGATAATAAAAAAAAATTATTACTTGTTAATAAGATACTTAGTCTTTAATAATATCTGTATTACCATTTACTCCTACTTAAGCACTGTTATAATTCTTCTATAATCTTACCTAAATTTCCCTTTGCTCCCAAACTACAAATAACAAACTAGTGTAAGTTCCCACTACACTACAGTGCAGTTCCTTGTACCATCTTCCACTAGCTAGTATCAACTACCTCAAATAATATTTCTTTAGTGATATTAATTGCTCAAACTTTAAGTTACAAGGCAAATCTTACTCTCAGATTAATTTCATAACATAATGTCAATCTATTTAAAGGTTGTTTTTACCAATACTTAATTTAGTCCCTTTTTACATTTCTACTGAAATAATTCTCTATATACAATTACATTGTACTGCCCTTTATTCAGTAATTGCTATACTCCTAGTTCTAACAATAATTAAAGAGAACTTTCAGGAGATTTAATACTTTTTTTCCCTCTTGTAGATTTTTTTTTTTTTTTTTTTTTTCAACAAGTCGGCCGTCTCCCACTGAGGCAGGGTGACCCAAAAAAGAAAGAAAATCCCCAAAAAAGAAAATACTTTCATCATCATTCAACACTTTCACCACACTCGCACATTATCACTGTTTTTGCAGAGGTGCTCAGAATACAACAGTCTAGAAGCATACACATATAAAGATACACAACATATCCCTCCAAACTGCCAATATCCCAAACCCCTCCTTTAAAGTGCAGGCATTGTACTTCCCATTTCCAGGACTCAAGATATAGTCACATTTATTAAAATACTCCAGGTGCTACTGACTACCTCAGGTGCTACTGACTACCTCAGGTGCTATTGACTACCACAGGTGCTATTGACTACCTCAGGTGCTATTGACTTCCTCAGGTGGACTACCTCAGGTGCTACTGATTTTGTTTTAATACATTCTTGTTTTAATACATTCTTTTATCATTATATTCACTAGCTGCTTTAGCTGTAAATATCTACCGTAGTTCATAAACTCACATTTGTTGAAATAATTAAGGTGATATTAGATGCTTAAGTGTATAACTGAATTATCTGTTCTGTAATAGTCCCTTTTATTTTCAAATTTTTACAAGTTTTAGAATAATTAGAGTCTTATTCATAAGTCTAGTTGTAGATTCAATATAACTCTTATACTATTTTACTAAGAAAATCTAGTTTGTAAAATTACTCTCATCCTATGATTACAGGCATAGATCCTGATGTAAATCTTTACTAAATGAAATACACGAATCAAACAGTAACTGTATTTACTACACAGCAGAGCAAGCAAAGACATTACTCAGAGCAAACAATAACATAACCATCTTTAACTACAATATCAGATCCTTCAGCAAACATTATGACAACCTCACAACATTACTCAATTCCCTTCATTCCAATATATCACACTCACAGAAACCTGGCTTAAGCCTGATATTACAGATGTCTATACCATTCCTGGCTACATGGCCATACACAACTGTAGAACAGACCAACAAGGGGGAGGAACAGCTATATGCTACTCAAATCAACTCGAATGCATCAACAAATCTTGCACAAGGGACGAACATGGATAATATATCATAACCAAATTTAAATCAAAAGACCTGCAAAAACTCCCTCACAGTTATAAACATATACAGAGTACCACAGTCAAACATTTACCACTTTGATGAAAAACTAGGAAACATGATTACTGATGCACACATGAATAAAGACCACTACTACTAACAGGAACTTTCAACATAAACATACTACACGACCAGGACCCACAAACAACCGAATTCACAAACACAATGAGTAACTGCCTATTTCTACTAACAATATCTAAACCTACAAGAATCTCCGAGACAAGCATCTCCTTAATAGACCACATCTGGACAAACACCATATCCCCTTTAAAATCAGGCATAATCACAGACAACACTACAGACCACTACCCAACCTTTCTCATAACTAATCTGGGCAAACTGTCACAAACATCACCAAAGTAACCTTCAGACTACATAACGAGGCAGCAGTTAACAACTTTATAGAAACTTGGGGTTTTCAAACCATTACACACTTTTACACATGAATACATCGAGCAAAATGAGCTCGAACATATACAGATATGAATGAATGTATAAATAATTTTCTAAAAAAAGCCCAAAGCCTCTATAACAAACACTGCCCCCAAAAAAACAGATCACAGCAAAGAGACTGAATAATCCCTGGCTAACACCAAGCATCCTTAAATCCATTAACACAAAGCACAAATATGAAAAACAGTATAGAATGGGTTAAATAATTAGAGAACAGTCTAAATGTTACTCGTCAGCACTTAGCAGCCTGATAAGAAGATCTAAAAAATTGTATTATGAAAATAGATTACATAACATCAAAGGTGATATGAAAAAAACCTGGAAAACTCTATCTGAAATTCTTGGAAATAAAAAGTTATCCAAAAACACAACAATCAAACTAACCAAATCAGATGGTCCCCTACTCACACCTACTGAAACAGCAAACAGACTCAATGTTTTC